AAATCGAATGCACCACATATAAGTCAATGAATATTTCTCGAATCCCTATCATTTCATCCGATACACTCTTTCATTTCATTGACTACAGTTCTCGACTAACGTTTGTAATCACTATCAGCAAAGCTCGAAGACAATCTTCGAAATTGTGTAGTCTAGACAACAGGCCATTTACAAAATCTTTGACAATTGACAGATACTTTCTTGAAATACACACCGAATTACTCTTGCCAACAGGTGCTACTTTGGACTGAGCAGGCTTTTGAAAAGTAAAGTCAACTCTCGGCGAACGAAAACCAAACTCTACAAGTCACTCTCAGTCTTCCATTTCAATGTAAATATCCTTATTTTTACTTTACCAACTGGCAAATGCAATTTGACATGAACAAAAAAGTAGTGCTGCCCAATTTTTTTTCAAACATTGTAACCAGTTCGCCAGAATACCGAATTCAATTTCGGATGTTAAAAAAAGTAACCACAGTTTCTTTACCGGTAACAGTGAGAATAGGCATGTTAGTCTCTATTACTACGTTCATGCTTCATTCCACTTCTTTATTGGTGTTAGCACCGCTTCTTTCCTACTCGGGTTTATTTTACTCGTGTTAAACAATGATATTTTTGGCAAAAATTTAGCAACATGGAAATTGAAGAAATCACACGACAAAGAGGCAGGGTCTGAAACCTCGTTTGGTACCGAACGGCTCGGAGAAGTATTTCCCAATTCTGACGGGTGGTTAACGCTTCTATCTAGAGAAAATGTGGTTGTAATCTACCCGAGTAGACGCCTTAACGCGTGGTGAAAAAGTGCTTATGCTTGCTAGTTTAATCTACCAGAGCAGAATAAACCCGAGTAGACATTAAGCATAGACGTAGTAATAAACGTAGTAACAGCCAAACATTGCACACTTCTTTTCACTTTTTTGCATTATTATAAATAATATATATAATAATATATTTTATAATAGTGAATAACGTATATTTGAGCGGCATTTTACGCCAGCGGCCGCGGTAGCCGAGTGGTTTGCATTGCGTATTGCCATTCGGAAGGCTCGGGTTCAAATCCTGATGTCGCACTAACATCAAAAAGTTATAAAAAAAACGTATTTTAATTGAAAAATTAAGCTAAATTTTCTGATTGCGCTCGCCCATCGGAAGAGAATGTCAACCCCTCCGAGTCTATTTCTGACATGCAATAATGTTGCTCATAAAAAACCGTCAGCCGTTCGGAGGCGGATTAGTATAAAAAGTAGATCCCTTGATGAAAAACATCATGACGCGAAACCATAAATTTGAGGAGGAGCTCGGCTGAAAATCGCTTCAGCGGTTACAAAACGCCAGTTATTGTATTTATATATACGAGTATTCTATGTCAACGACATTTCTTTCTTCTTTGATATGTATGTATATACTTGGTTTTATATAAAGAACTAAATTAAAATTAATTTTTATTCAATGGCACAAGCTAACTGCTTGTATCTTTTGGTTAAACAAATTGATATTTTTAAAAATATCCGAACAGTCCGAAAAGATAAAATTGATTGACCAATCGACTGATTATAAACTCGATTCCTGTTGATCATGTAAATGCATATACAACCTTTTGTACTTATGAGTGTAATTGCAAACATGCGTATGTTTGCAAGTAAATATATACATGCTAGTATATATGCACATTACTTAAAAATAAAATCTGCTGACTAAAACAATATCAGATAATTTCACATGTGTACACCTATGTACATATGTATGTACTTAAGACTCATGCTTCTCAACCCATTTGTCTAGCATAGAATCTATTTACGTTTGGGTACATATGTATGCGAATAAATGCGTGTAGATATGTATGCTATTTAGTCGTACACGATTCTACCAAAAAAAAATTACAATTATCACTGCCATTGTCATTGTCAACCGCGCATAGTGTGTGACTACGAAGAAATTCAGAATGTGAAAGAGAAAATAAATATATAGAAATGTACATAATTATGTATGTTTGAAACAGATTCAAATATAGTCCTTAACGTAAAATATAGTGATTATTATCAAAAAAAAATCACACATATAATGATATATTGTTAAAAAAAAACCCTCAAAATCTCTTAAAAAATTTTATATTTATCTAAATTGAAATCAAATTTTCTTCAAATAAATTTGCAGTAAAAGCGATTATATACTTTTCGTCAATATGATTATCATTATGTTGTACGGATTTTAAAAATATCATAATGATTTGGCTGGAGAAGAAATGGCCTCAAGAGATGTCTGTTAAAATCGGCTGTCTCTATTTTTGGTATTTGTGACTCTATGAGAGAGGCGACATAATACAAAAATAATGGATGACTTGACACTTGACTTTTTAATAAATACATACATATGTATGTAGAATTAAGCCACGTTTCACAGGGCAGTGGACAAAGGACACGTTAAGATACAAGGAAGGAAGGGAGGACTCCTGGAGAGACTAAAATACTCCAGAGTATTCACACCTATATTAAATAAAATCATGGAAACCGAATTTCAATGTCGGAAAATTAGTTTGAACAGCATTTAAATTTCTGGTTGGTTGAATAGTGCGTTTTCTTTATGAGCTGGTGGTGCCAAAAAGAATAGAAGAAAATTACTTTATTAAAAAATATCCTTACAAAGCAGCTAATCGGTGTGACCCCACAAAACAAAACACCTTTATGTGTTTAGAAGTCCCTCGGATATGGTTGTTCTCAATTTTTTAATCGGTCCTCCTAAAGGACTTGAAAGTCACATACATATATATATATATACATATATATATATATATATACATATATATCTGCTTTGTCCAAGAGTTTTTAAAATGAAAAATTTGGAAGAAAAATTATTGAAATTTAATAAAAAATCAACATTTATAAAAAATTCTTTAATATTTAAAACTTAATTTCGCCAATATTCCACAATAATTTATCAAAACTATGAAACTAGTTACGGGATGAAAACTACCACGTTTGAAGGCATCTTACTTATATTGCGCAAAATTTTATAGATTATTTTTAAATTTCCTAGTGCCTGTTTCTCACATCGCTCATCCCAGTTAATCTGTTTCATTAGCTGATCGCAGAAAGCTCAAAAAAGAAACATAAACATGACAACTTGTTCATGTTTTCGCTGGATTATGTCTGCACCAGATGTTAGGGAGGCGAGAAATTTCGCTGTTGGTTCTAAGCTTTCTTTAGAATCCTGCAGTCATTATAGAACGGCATTGACATTTTTATAATATTTTTAAAGTACAGTTATGCAAACATATTCAAATTCACATGTTCTACAATCCAAGGTCTTATAGTATTTAAGGGTCTCTCTTAACAGTAATGTTGAACTAAGGAACTTATACGAATTCAACTCGCTAGCTTGATTATATCAGCAGAAAATTCGTTGAATTTATCACATTTCCATTCGGTGTTCGCAAGTTGTAAAAAAAAGAGATTTTCTGACTGCCAGCTAAAATATGAACATAGTCAGCATTAAAATATTAGTACGAGTACACACACATACGTTTAAGCAAAGATCAGTTTACAATTAAATTTTAAGCCATTGCCGCACGAATGCAATTTTTTTAAGTAAAATATGAAGTTTCTCTTAAAGCGAGGTACTAATTTATAAGGTTTCCTCGGTTAGCAATCGAGTGCCTCTCAGTGCATTACGGCTGACCTACATATGCAGCTACAACTTCATAGACACTTTGTCAAACTTATGTTATATTACATGGATATTTACATAAATTGGTTTGTTCCTCCTATACATATGTATATACATATACATACATATGTATGTATGTATATATATACATATAAATTTATTTATTTTATCTGTTTGCATTTTAAAGCGAGGAAGCCAGTATATACATATACACATATATTAAAAATTAGGAATAACGTAAAGCCACCTCCAAAAAAATACGTATTTACAAACATCCAGAGATATACATACTCGGAAATATTTATTAAGTCTATTGCATTTTAAAATTTTATTTTATATAAACATTTTAACTCGTAAGAGATGATATGCCGACTATGTTTACGACCAGGTTAACGGTTCCATTCTCAAAAACTAAGATTAGAGAATTTTTCTGTGCGAGAGTATAAATTCGCCGGAGACATAAGGCAACAAGCTGACGACGATGATTCTCCAAAAGGAAGAATTTTACAGAGTATTCCAGCATATTGTAAAAAAGCTGTTTATTTTGCAGTAACATTTGAATCCGTTCATTTACAGTTTATTTTTTCTACTTTTAAGTGTTTCAATAAAATTAGTAATTTTGTGACATTTTTAATTTATTAATTATGTGCTAAAATTATTGTATTTCAAACCATTAAGGTGCCGACATATTTTTTTCTAAATGCCTTCTGATATAACTCTTTTTCAACAATTTGTCTCTTAGATTTTCGGGAAAGATGATTGGAACACGAAAATGGGTTTAAAAGTCTTTCTCCCTTATTAGAGGTTAATTGAATATCATGGATTTTTTGGAGCCTTTTTGAAAGAAATTCAAGTATATTACTTTTCTTTTTAAATACGACTAAAATTTCATTTTGTGAACCTTCATCTCTTTCGGAAGTTTAAGAATGTATTTCCCTCCCTTTAACCATAGCATAGTTTCGCAATGGTACGGATCTACAGTGCCGAGCAAAATTAAGTGTACGTTCCAAATCAAACGAATTCGTTCATAGCAAATAGGAGTAAGATAAAAAATAAAAAAGATAAATTCAAAAAGTTCGAAGGAAAAAACAACAAAAATAAACATTTAAATCCGAGTGGCAACCGCATTAAGACAAAAAATTTTAAAAGATGGCTTTTTCCGGCTTCGAGAACATGAACTATGCTTCTAACATGCTATTTTCGACAAATTTGTAAATGTAGGGCTACGTAAACATATTTCCATGATAAATATTTAATTTTCCTATGTTTGTCAATAATTTTCAATTTTAAAGAGACTCTTACATTTCTATAGAAATGGAGTTTATACAATAACATACCAGCTTTACTTGATGCTTCTTTTTCGCCTTGTGTGGTGAGGCGATCCGTCAAAAGGGCGTAGATGATCCCATAGGTGTTAATAGTTCCAAATATTACACCATTACATACAAATGCACTAACCATTACTAACCAAGCTCTCATCCCGCCATCCGGCGGTTCATTTCGACCATGAATATCTCTGCAACACGGCGCTTCAATGTGTTCTTCCGAAAAGCTTTGCTTTATAGCCGTTCTATTGGTATTTCTCCCTGATTCGATGATACGGGTTCCATTAACTTGTGGGGCAATACCGTCTTTTGTTTTTGCCGATTCACTAAGGGGTTGACTTTCGGCCATACTGTATAAGTCTTAATCTCTGTGGATGATAAGAGTCAGAGTTAAGAATTAGCTATTGTTAATACATTTTTAATTCACGAATTGAAAAATATAAATGATAAAAAGTATAATAATGATAAACGATATACTTTTTATATAATTTTTTTATAATAGTTATTTCATTTTGTCACACAAATATATTGTTCATAGAGAAAGACTCTGTAGGAATCTAGTTTAACATTTATAACTTGTTATTTTCCATTCTTCAGTTTTTTTGTTACCGAATTTTAAATTTCAAGTAATTTCATTTTCTGAAATATTGTTATTTTAATTTTTTAACAAATAAGAAAAAAATTATTAAAAATAAAATATTTATAAATTTATATAAATATGCTCGTATTTACATCTATATATAGAGCTACGTATATAAATCGTGCTCTATATAACTGGCGGTCCTGCCCTTCGTATTTTGTTGAATTTAAACCACCCTCAACCTCATCAACAAATCAATGGCTCTGCTTTGGATTTTCATCTACCTTTGGCATTGCTATGAATATTGATGCTTAATGCATCCTCAGCTGTTATAAAAAATTGTAATTATTCTATTTTGCAGCATTATTTAGTAAAAGATAGACGTACCCAGTCTAGTTTCCTTTTTTCTTTTCCTTTTATCTAAGATTTTGGATGTTAATCAATCAATAACTATGATTTTTAATTGCTTTTAAGATACAATGTATCCCATTGCATCTTGATTAAATTCATAATCATTTGCATCAAAAATTATTTGAATGACGTCCTTTTCTTACGGCGCTTAAAATATTTGGCTCAGCGATCTTAATTTAATATAAAAATCGATAGTTAGAGCCTTTCAACCTAACTTAACTTTTTAAAGAAGAAACAACACCACGAATTATGTTCTCTTTATTGAGAGTTTTAAGCCCCATTTTAAAATATTTATTTGACCTATTCATTAAATTGAAAAGGAGGGAACTAGAACTAGAAATGTCATTCGCGTATCATAGCATCGTCCTTTTCGAAAGTTTTATCATTTAATGAGTACTGCGAAGAACGAAGCAAATGGTAGTCTGACGACGCAAAATCAGGGCTATATAGTGGACGCATCAACAGTTCCCAGCCAAGTTCTCAGTTTTTAGCGAGTAACCAAAGCTGTGTGCGGTCTAGCATTGTCCTGGTTGAATATCACAGAAGGAAGCAGCTCAAAATATGCCACAAACTTTCAATACCACGAAACTGCAAGCATAATCTTCTTTTGGTGAATATCAACCTTTGAAGTTGGTTGTGGCTACTTATCATGCTTGGACAATGACCGTTTTCAATTGGCGTTATTGTAAGTAATACACTTCCCATCTCCAGTTACGATTTGCTTCAAAAAGGGATCATATTCATTGCGTTGAAGCGGCTTGTTAAATTAATTTCTTTCAATTCAGTTATATGACGATCCGATTCATCAACTTCACTTGGCCGAGCTGAACGTGGCATATCTTAGAGTGAAAAATCTCCCAAACGGAATTTAACAAACCAACTTCGACACTATTTTTCTTTTGAGGCCCTACCACCATACAAATTATGCAGCTTTTTAGCAACCTGCGCTGCATTTTTTCCTTCAAGGAAATAATAAAGTATAATATGACGAAAATGTTCTTTTGTGGACTCACTTACGTGTACTTTTTTTCTAAAACAAGCTAAAAGTGTCAACTTATAACTGCTAAGAGAAAAAAATATAATGAAATAGTTAAAAACTATTCAAGAAAAAATTGTCATCTGTATGAAAAATCGCTGGTTTCTTTTGGGGTAACCCAATATGTTGAGATTTGATTCAGTCCGATTTTACTTTGTTCAAAAAAGTGTTTTTCTTTTCATAAAATAAAAAGCAAAGATCAAATCAATCATCATTCAAAGTATAATTCGTCGGAGGAGACTTGTTTTTCCAGTCTCTCTCGCAGTTTTCGAATACCTTCTCTAAAAAAATGAGTTTGTCCTCAACCCAATAATTGAACCATTTTTCGGTTTATTCCAGAAGACAATAAACTCAGTATTTGCGGATTATTGAACAGAAATCCTTATACTTTTTCAGAGGCAAAAACAATGTTGTTACACCCTAAATATGGTCGATATACAGTTGCTTTTAAAATAATATTATTTAATTTTATTATTCAATTCTGTCGCAATGATTCTATATTTTTATCCATAACTTTACAGTCCCGTTATTAGAAGTATAGTCTCTCAGTAAGTAACATTTTTTTGGCGAAATATCGGCTGTTTACTTTTAAACACGTTTAAAAGCCTTTAAAAGCCTCATCCACAGATTCCCCGTCAAATAATAACCCCACAAATAATATAAATTAAGATAATGATCACGGTAATTTGCTATTGGCAATGGTATTATTCTCCATAAATTTTTTAAAAAGTCTTCTTTCGTGTCAACTGCAGAAGTGAAAAAGAAGTTAGAACTGCTGATAAGAAAGGGGACAATATGCAGAAGACATAGAGAGCACAAGTCCCTCTTTTCACAAATATGCCAAAAGTTGGAGTTTTCTAAAAATCACCTAGAATGGCCAATGGAAAATATTCTGTGGTCAGATAAGTTTAAAGTAGTTTTATTAGGTGGAAAGGGTTATCGATCCTATGTTGCAATACCACCTAATCCGGAATGTAATAGAAAAGTTACCGCAATGTACCATTGTAGATGCAACAGAATACATCAATATGCTGCGTATGCTAAAAAGTGGGCCCATCGAACATTTGTAGTCTGACACTATACCATTCTAAAACTTTTATGAAAAGTCCTTACAAGGTAACACTTAGCTTCTGCTAACGTCGAGTTTTTAATGTACTTAATGCGTCCAATATCCTAGGGTAGATTTACTTCAATATATTACATGATAAGTGTCCACAAAACTAAATAACACCCTATAGTCATCAAATATCTATCGGATAATCACAAACTTCTGGATCAACTCAGCAGTCGCTGAGCCATTGAAGGGGACGTCAGCATTGCTGTGGTAAGTACAACTAATTTTTCGTAATAAGGGTTTTTGTTCTTGACCTATTTTTTCATTTTCTCTAATTTCTTTAAGCATTACTATATTATTAAGAACGATGCATTCCCACGACAGATGAATGTAGACGAAATAGTATCCATTAGTGGATCGCCCGATTCTAATTCTCAACAGGAAGATTGTGCTACTCAGGTCGAAGTTAGGAGTGACCTTGAAGACGAGATGTTGGTATATATAGAAACATATATATTGGCACTTTGTAACCGCTGGAACGATTTTCGGCCGAGCTCCTTCTCCAATTTGTAGTAATTTTTTATTTAAATTCTATAACTTTTGGATGTTGATCGCACGGGGATTTGAACTAGAGTCTTCCGAATAACAGTACGCAATGCCAATCACTAGGCTACAGCGGCCGCCGAAAAATATAAATCTGGGAAATACACTAGAGGTTCCTGAGACCTCCCGTCTATGCCTCCGGAATCTGCTAATTCTGAGGTATGTTGACACCACAGAATCCTCATATTACAGCAGCGTTCAATTCGTAGAAAAGAATCACATATGGTTAACAACAAAAGTACCGTGAACAGGCCGCACTTCTGCTATAAGTCTCAGAGGTCCTACTCGAGCATGTAAAAGTTTTGTCGACATTTTAACTTAAAGGAAATCTCAGCAACTTACAGGGATATCAACGAATTAGAGATCAGGGCTCTAATAGGAAAGTTGAGTATGACGGCTATTATGAAAGGTAAATAGTAATTATCTCTCTACTGATGAGTTGCTTGATGCCTTAATACCTGTGAAGAAAATATGGTAGATCTTTTATCAACCAACGCAGACTGAATCACGGAACTGGCGCTTACTTAACTATGGAAAAAAATTTTTGGGCTTTGGTTTGGGGTTCTTTCCGCATATGCTTACTTAATAATCGGTTTATTGGTAAATACAATATCCAACCTAGGTATAAGCACGAAGAGGAATAGTGTTCAATAATGGTTTTCAACAATGGTTTTTTTTCCTTAAGTATAAAAAAGTGCTTATGTATATATTCGTTCAATATGTATTTCGAATAAATACTAAAAGAACATACAAAATTTCCAAAATGCCAATAGCCACAAAAATACGATTGGACTTCTAGGGTTATAACATATATTTATATAGAAGTGCTCAAATTTTGTATAATACATACGAAGTATATTCAATCGTAAAATTCTCTTTGAAAATACTTTTTTTATCAATATCTATTTTGCCCCTCAAAGTAATTCCCCCTGTGCCAGTCTTCGAAGCACCTTCACATCTTATAGAACTTGGCGTGCCGTTTTCGGTCTTGACTCATCTGGCAGCTTTTATTCGGATGATTGAGACTTGATTTCGACGTCATAACAACATATCCACTTCTCGTCACCAGTCATATTCCGTTTGGGTAAACCCTATAAAATCATTCGAGAAAATTGTATATGCTACCATTCTCTGCAACTTCGCTAATAGTGATTCGATGATTTTCAAGAACAATTTTTTTCTATGTTTCGCTATTTTCTAAGCTTGTTGAAGTGATCGCCCCTCCAGGACGTTCATCGTCATCAACACCTTCTGTAAAGCGCTTGAAGCATTTATTTTTTGAAACAAAGTGGACTCACCGAATGCCATAGTCAACATTTCAAGTACCTTGGATCACTTTATTACATTTTTAAAGAAAAATTGAATACGTATTCTTTGATCCATTTCTTTAAAAAGTCGAATATGGAAGATCAAACAAAAACGACAGTTGTCAAAAGCAACCTAATAATAAAAATTGGGTTTTAAGGCGAGCATATCATAAAAATACATACGTAAATGTATGTGTCCGATTATTACAAAAACAAAATATCGATAATCAAATGTACACAGCCCGCGAAAAATTAAAATTAACCTTTTCCTTCGAACACACCTCCTATATTATCATCATACATATATACATATATTCGAAATTTTTTGCTGACGATATATTTCAAAATAAATACATAACTCCCATTTAGAACCCATGTTCCTGTTCAAAATAATACTAGCCAATTTTTAAAAGATTTAATATTTCATATTAATATTTATTGTAAGCAAAACAATAAGTAACAATAAGTAACACTAAAAGATTTTCTCAACACGTACGAAAGATTATTTCAAAAAACTAGGAAACAAAAATAGAAAAAGAAGTAAAGATGCTCAACTAACGAAACGAGGCCATTTCGTTTTGTTAATTTGACAAATAACTTACAGAAATGAATATTTTTTTCGTCATGTTATCGAAACGAAATGAAATTGTTAATGTTAACGTTAATTTTAAAATAACTGCATTCTTTGATTTAACAGCACACTTCAATTTTAACGTTTAACACTATCTCTTAATGATTTAACATTAACGACAACTTTCCGCTTCGGGTAAAAACGAAATAAAATGTATTTTGATAACTGCTTTAACGATAAAATTTCCAAATGTTCCAAAGCCGAATCGATCGGTGTATTGTGCACTACAGTAGAATTCACCATTTTAACAAAAAAAAAGTATCGCTAGTCGTCTTGAATTCATCAAAAACCCCTCATTGATGAAAATGAAATATGGACAGACGAAAGTAAATTCGTTCTGTTTAGAGGCACTGGTCCTCAACAGTATGTGCGGCGTTCTCAGAACACTGAACATCACCCTAAATAGAGTACATAAACTTGAGAACACTATTATTATTTTGAACACAGCTGTAGATGCATAGATTTGTCCTAAAAAATTTCAAAGTCAAAATTTCATTTCCATATATATTTTTCTAATATCAATGCATATGCCTTAATCAACAAATAATTTAAATATGTCCATACATATCTACATACATATGTATGAACATAACTATGTCATGCATACATGTGCATAGAATCTATGAATATATTTTTTTTATTGTTGTTAAATAAAACAAATCTTCCTTCTTAGTAAACTGCTCTCGAAAATAACGCAATACATTCGGTTCGATCTCAAAAAAGTCACATCGTGTTAAGGAAAAACTATGAAATTTACTCATCTGGTAAAATTTGCCGGCAATATCTGTACATACCATATAATAAATAATAACTAGAACGTGGCACGTGCTCTCGACGGCAAGGAATTATTGTTGACTAATCGATTTCAATTCCAACATTGATTTTAATAAATTAAATATGATTTTACTTCACAATTGATACAAAATAACACAGAGTCCGATTCACTTTACGAAAGTTTTGTAATTGTTCATTCACGCACCGAGAAATATGTTATTATCGAAAAGCCATTCAATTCAACACTGTCGTAGTCAAATGTCGAATGCAGAATAAAAGCGATTTTTTATGTGATACAGCGCCGAGTTTTGAGAGAGGCGCTCGAAATACAATATTCCTACAAGTGCACAAATATATTTTTATACATACAAATGTGCATAAATATGCGTAGGACATACAAATGAACATACGCATGTAAATATATATAATACAACATGTATGTATATTCATGCATTTTACTTTTAAATTGTATTGACTACACATCTATGGGACAATAGCTGATACTAAATTACCCTCTGAGTGGTGTCGTCGTCGCCGGTCGTAAACGTAAGCAAATTGTCCGATGCAGCTATTGCAAATTCTTTAGAATCAGGAGCAGTGTTGCCAGATTTTTTTAGTGATCCAGCTAAACAGGTGAAAACTAAAAGTTAAAAACAGCCAACCAATTTTCTGTAAATAAAACTAAACAAAGGAGCTAAAAATGTTAAGCCAGCAATTTGATTATTTTAATTGCTTTCCATGAAAAAGTTTTTTCACATAACAAAATGGAAAACTACCGCATCTAAACAAGCCAATTCTTAATCTTATGCCACAGCTTAGGGATTATCCATAAACCACCATATAATTAAAAACAATCAATCAAGTATTAGCTTTTAATATCTTTTTTTTCATCTAAAGAAAACTACGTAGCTTTGCTCTACTTATACTAAGCATTCATATATACATGTATGTATGTATATATTATATATTATATATAATATTAGTATTATTAAATAATTTTTTTTTTCGATTTCCACCAGGGGTTCTTCTGAGTGCATAAGAACATGCACATATATACATGCACTCTGGGTTTTCAAGAGAGTAAAAGTGCTATTTTTACTCACTAATACTTTGCATCATTGCTCTCGTGGCCATGGAGAACAAAAACTTAAAGAGACTACACCGTGTGACAAGCAATAAAAAATTTAGCATATTAACAAAAAAGTTTAACTAGACTGTAGTTTAAACTTAGTTTCGATCTCGAGTAACTTTAGAATCATATTTACTTTTACGAAAATTCGAATAATGCGATGCGGATCCAATTATTTCCGAGGCAAATTTTGGCATCCAAACGAATCTTGTGGGAGTAGACTCGTTATAACAGGCAAAGGGCGGCAAAATGTTTCAGTGATTTAACTGATTAATAAATATTGCTTTGTTTTTCCTAATTATCGATAATTAGATGGAAACAATCGCCCGATTCGCCATTGTAACGGAGGCCACTTTTCACAATTCAACATATGTTGTTGCCCCAACATATGCACCTTCTCCTCTTGCTTATTCCCTCAAAGTGCGAGTCAAGTACCGAAAACTTTCAAAGCTTGTAAGTTGTTATTTATCGAGGCTGCATCCGTCCTATAAACCGGCTGCTTAGTTCCTGTACTATATAAATGTTGTCGTGTATGTATGTTCATACGCAAAAGACTATAAGTCTTCGCCAAAATCTGTTTATTAAGAACTCCTAATGCCGACATTCTTAGCTCTCGAGGTCCACCATTCTTCACCTACATATGTATATATGTATGTATGTATAAAGTTAGATTAAAATGATGAGCGATGTGTGGAATCTGGTTCTTTGTATGCCCAGAAAAAACTTTACTTTTCAGTTGTATACTCTGTCCTGAGTACCACCTGTTGAGTGATTCTTCGTTGGATTTTAAGGCTGGCAATGTTACTGGTGCTTCTTGGATAGAAGGAATCCAAATAGTTAACCGGCGTACATTACGTACGCGATGTACAAGTGTATTTTTCAGAAATCAACAATAAATATATTCATTCAAAAAACATACATACATAGTGCGAGTATCTACATATCTTAGCGCCACCATTGTCAGTAACAAATCGACGGATGCAAGCACTTTAAAGTTCAAATATCCCAGAGACGTTTGTATTGCGATGTGCTCTCTTAATTGAACTTGCGGCATTTCTTCAGTATCTAATTCTCAGAATTAACAAAATTGAAGTAATTCCAATGTATCGCGCGTTATTTAAAAAAATTTAAATATGTGGAAGATATTTCAATATAAACTTTGACTAGAAATTCTCTTGCGCTTTACAATATAAGTAGTGTGTGTTTGTATGTACATTTTTTTTTTTTTCAGATAAAAAAATTAGTCGTAGAGGTATGTTTTAATATATTTCATAGGGGGTGTTACCAATAGCGCATTCCTAATTAGCGAGCTCAACTTTACCATCGGTTTAAGATCATCTAGACATTTTAGAGCCTTTTTATTGTGATCATGCAAAACGAACTTTGAAATGCACGAAGCTTTTGGAAGTTTGTATAACGATTTTAGGGCTCATTCCGCCAGCATTGCTTCCTCCGACTCCGAGCTTTAAACAAATATGCATGTATGTAATTTTTGTAGTGTAAATATTTTTTGAAGATTAAAATACATTCCCTCGACATATAACTAATCAAGACTTACTTAATTCTAATTGCTATTGTCTTTAAAAAAGTGCAATGGAAGCCTTTGGATATTTATTGACAAATGTTAAGCCAAATGATTATGCCGTTGGCGTAACCTTATTCTCTATAAACCTTTATTAATATTCGAATAATCTCTGTATTTTGGCAATTATTGAGCGACATCATGAAAAGAAAAAGATTTATTTTATAAGAAATCGGTTTTCAATTTTTTCAATGTGGCTCTTGTATTTAGAAAATTTATTTTACTCATAAATCCATCGAGAATTTATAAGGAAAAAAGAGTTTCAAAATTGTTCAACAACCATAACCGTCATATGACCTTTGTTGAAAAGTATGCATGCATTTTGCAAATTATTTTTTATATTGCGACGGCAACGTTAGCCGAGTGGTTAGCATTCCCATTCGAAAGGCCAAGGTTCGAGTCCTGGTCCGCCCAACATCCAAAAATTAAGTTAAATTGCGGTAGCCCCTGGAAAGAGAATGTCGACCCCTCCGAGGGTATTTCTGACATAAAAATTAAAGCTCATCATAAAAAAAACATCAGGCGTTCGGTGGCGGCTTGGTATTGCGAATACATAATTGATTAATAAGCGCTTTCTTCAAAAAATTTAAATTTTAGTTTGCACTTGAAATCGGGCACCAACTTATGCACTCATCCAATATAAACTGTAGATCCCTCCATTTGTTGGAAATCATTAAGACGCAAAACCACAAATTGGAGGAGGAGCTCGGCCGAAAATCGGCTCAACGGTAACAAAGCACCATTTATATATATATGTTTATATTGTTTATATGTTTATATTGTTTATATTGGCATTTAATTAAAGTGTAATACCGTACGACATACTATAATACTGTAATACTATAAATAAAGAGCTCCATTTCGTCAATGTTAAGCTGGCTACTGAAATCAAATGACTTCATTTATAAAATCAGCAATTCGAGATAAATATATTTCTTTTAAAATACCACAAAGTGGAATTGATAACTAGCGCCCAACCAATGGGCGAGTGTCGTGAGAAATTTAAAAATATGAAATATAAAATTTAGGAGTTAAAAATTTATAAAAGCGTAAAAACAAATAACAAATACAACAACTCATGGGTCATGGATTACAATATTGATCCAACATTCACAAAAGAGAAAAAAGTCAAGGAGAAACTTAACTAAACGTATAGTTTATTGTAAGCCTTACGATTTTTTGAATTTGTAAACAGACAAATAAACTTATCAAAATGGAAACCAATGACAGTTAGTACCTCAACGACGCTATCACTAGGCTAATAACTAACAGCAGTATAAGACTTGAGCAGGAAATGTGGAAGTTGAAATCTCAGCTATAGAGCTACGAATTATGTAACAGAAGTTATTGATGAAAGCATAATATGTCGGGAGTTTTGATATGTTGTAAAATCCTTACCAGAATTTACTGGAAATTTTAAATCTAATGCCAGTTGGAGGCAGGCATCTTATAATGCCATGAGTTTAGGAAATAGGAAATATCTCGCAGCTCTTACAATCTTAAGAAATAAAATTACACAACATTCCAATGACGCTCTTACCAATCAAAAAGTAAACCTAACTTATTATAGAATATAGAAATAATGCAGATATAACTTGACCCTTGAGATACAATTTAGCCCGCCAGACTTAATCGATGCTCTAGCTAAAGCTCAAGAGCTAGAGTAAAATAATCAAAGAAGGCAGTTTGCTCGAAATTTCGCGTATAAAAAATAAGGTCAAAATCGACCTACACAAATAATAATAAAAAGTTCCCATCAGGGAACAATATTTCAAAACCTCAACCGCTGCAATGGTAAAGTATAGGAGGAATTATAATACAACAGAATGGTGATAACCATATGGATAATATTGTTATTATTATTAATTTTATTGTTAATTATAATTAAAATTGCAAAAAAAATATATTAGCAAAAGCTACCAGGGGTATGCAAATCAATCAAATTTTTAGGAACCAAGCCGAACAACAACACGGAAGTTGAAGTTCGTCTGCAAACATTTTATGAAATAAAAAATGACAATAGGGTTGTCAAGGAAAACAAACAAACGGAGATATAGCCAGTAATATTATTTTAAGTAAATATTTCTATTCTCAACAGTTCATGGTTACTCAATGATGAGTGAAAATGGTAACAGTAAAAAAAAAGTTAGTAAAAGTCATATTCGAATGTTCGTGCTATGCGGTTGCCTAATAGCCTATTTCCACCAAGCACTTAAATGCATTTAAGCCCTCTGTTAAGTAAATGAAATGTCAAACGTTTCCACCGAAAGTGAGTTAACTCAAACAGCTGATTTTTGTTTACATTTGCAGTTTATAAAATTTGCCACAACTATAGAAATCATGAATTCAAGAGACCGCATTCATCTTATTTGGCTTTTTCTGCAAACTTAAGACTTGCAAGTGCAGATTATTTCTGCACGGACAGACGTTGCTGAAACGGAAATGCTTTTATGCATGTTTCCATTTTCATATTTGTTTGCTTGTTCCCTCAAATTATTTGTTTTGCGCAATCAGCTGATAGCTACCAGAGCCACGTATATTTTTATGTTGAGGGGATTCTCTTCGCCAATTACTTAATATAGGTATTTATGTTAAAACTAATGCAAAAAAGGAATTTTTATACAAAAAATTTCACCATGCAAAATAAAAATCTCGCCCCTCATTAAATCCGAAAATACACGACTCTGGCAAGAAGTACACCGAAACTTCCGAAATGATTACATCATTAGTGACAGCATCGAATGTTAACATAACATTTTCTGTTAAATTGCCGAAAGTGAGTTAACTCACTTTGAAAAGTGAGTTAACACACTTTTATACAACAACAAACACATGGGAATTACCGCATTTAAATGCGATGTTTAAATACATTTAAGCTAAAATGCATTTAACGTCCGGTGGAAATAGGCTATAAATCTTTCAATCTGACTTATGTTCAAAATTTTTATGCTTAAAGTGGCAAAATCTTTAACATTTTATCTTAAAAGTTTGTTATATACATGACCGTACCGTCGTAGCTATTTTTCCGTTAAAATCTTTTGACTTTTATGCACATTTCAACATTATCCGGCCTATTCTCACTGTTACCGGTAAAGAAAATTTTGTTACTTTCTTTTAACATCTGAAATTGATTTTGGTATTCTGGCGAACTGGTTACATTATTTGAAAAAGCTTTGGCAGCACTGCATTTTTCGTCCTTGTAAAATTACATTTGCCAATTGGTAAAGTAAAAAAGAAGAATATTCACATCGAAATGGAAGACGTTGCACAGCAAAATAAAAGTTCTATTTATTTCTTTATTAAATTATAAATATTTGAACGACAAAAAAGCTAAATGAAAACGCTATCTGCCAAATTTAAAGGGCCATTTTTTTCTCGCAACTTCTTAAAATACGGCTTTTTACCCTTTTTCCTCATCTTCAATGAATTCCAGGCCTAAAATATGCCTACCCATTTTGGTTTTTATTTTTTCTTAAACCAACAACACATAGTCAAGCATCAGATTTTTTTTGTTACCTACTATTTCCCTGGTAGCAAAATTTACATTTTTCGTTATTCTTCTTTTATATATTCATTTTTATTACTTTTATTTTATTCAATGTCCTGCTCGTTCGAAAAGTGTAATTTGAAAAGTGATACTGAGCGTCATATTTCTTGTTGGCTTTGCGATGAAATAGCCCCCGCTAAACGCGACGGCCTAAACGGTCGTTTCGTGAGTGTCATCTGAGGACGCATCTAAATCTTCTGATTACCCAAAAATGAAGCCAGGATCCAAAAAGAGAAAACTTAGTAACGATAGGATAGTTATAAATTCAGTTACTGCATTTTGAATAAATCGTGTTACAAGAAGTATGTGACAAGAATTCAAAATAACATTACTTCGGATCCGAAGTCATTCTGTAGTTTTCTTAATTCGAAACGTAAGACTTTCGGGTTTCCATGAATGGTGAAGTCCTTAGTGATTGTTACAGAATCGCAGATATGTTCGCGGACTTTTTTGAATCTAATTATGTGCCGAACACAAATTAAACCCCGCAGCCACTCATTTACCCTTACTAGATTGCGCAAAAGTAACACATATATCCGCTGATGTTATTTATAATCATCTTAATGCCCAGCTCATTCAAAGGCGGTCCAGATAATATCCCTACTAGCGTACTAAAATTTTGAGTTGAATCTCTATATATACCATTAACGAACATATTCAATGCTTTATTAAAGCAAAATGTATTCCCTTCTTTGTGGAAGGAGTCATACATTGTACATCTACATAAATCTGGTAGTAGATCTTCAATAGAGAATTACAGGGGGATAGTAAAATTTTCGAAGCTATTATAACTGATCATTTAGCCCAGTCTGTCTGATTTCAGCAAAGCATTTCACTTTAAACTCTACCATTTCGGATTTCCACCTTCCCTTCTCAAGTGGATTTCATCTTACTTGATTCGTAGAAAACAAAAAATAATTCTCAAATATTATACATCACTTGAAATAGCAGTAACATCTGGTGTTCCTTAAAGGAGTCACCTCGGTCCCTTACTCTTCACTAAATTTATCAATGACCTTCCGAATGTGGTTATTCATTCTAAAATACTTATATGCGTCCCTAAATTTAAATAAGTGCAAATATATGTGTTCTTCAAAAAAAAAAACCTTCCAATTCTTTGCCTATATTATATAAACATAATCATATACATAATCACAGTGTTGGACAAGTTACTGACTTCATTGATATAGGTGTCACAATGGACCCTAAGCTAGATTTTAGAAATCATATAAAAGCTTGGCTAATATGGCAAAAGGCGTGGGCAGAACAAACATTAAATGGCACGACCCTTTTAGATCTTTGTATGTATAACGATTTTAATCTCACCAACATTGATTCCTCTGACTCGCTTTTCTGTATCAAAACCTACTTACCCTCCTTTTCCCCATTCAATTAATAGCAGCTGATGAACAAAACTGTAGCTGTTTAGTGTAAGAGGTGAGTATAACTGCGACCTTCCGCGATTGGTTTTGGGTTCAGGGCAGTCCGGACTAGTGACGATGATTAAGTAAATTTCAGTTTTCTGGGACTATTATAAAAACGGACACCACTAAAACAAATCATAAAAGTAAATTCTAAACAAACACAGAAAAAGATGTTAGACACTCATAAAAAGAACAAAGCGCAAAAGCAATTTTACCCAGGAGAAATTGTTTATTAAAAATTAATAGGAAAAAGATATATAAAAAGCAGCAAGTTGAAGAGGTGAGAGCCAAAGCTCAACTATCTGGTAAGCTTGCTATTAATAATACCATAACATAATGTAATAATGATTTTTTAATGTACAATATTAGAAGGGACACATATTGTAAAATTTAAAGTTTTGGAATTTTACAGAGAAATATGAAAGAGCTAAAACAAGAATAATGAAACCTGAAGAAATACAAAAAATTGAAAAGTTTAGAAATGTATTGATCAATAAAATGTTATCTATGCGAGTTTAAACTTCAAGTTGACGCTTAAAAAGGCATCGTGAATCATACTCTATGACCCTTTGATCCCTGAAGGTTTATAATGACTCAAGCTCCTAGTGTGTAATCCACCGGATTATCCAGCACATAGCTTAATACTAAGCTCTATCCCTTTACTCCTGAATAGTGATAGGTGAAGAGGAGCTAACATCTATTACTTCATTTGTGAAATATAAGGTTGTCAAATATCTCCCTTCCGCTTTTTTGCTCTTCATTCAATGCTTTGTAAAAAGTGTTACAGTGATCGGATTTAATTAAAATATGCGCCGTTTGGTTCGATGATCTGTTTCCATCTAGACGGCAACTTCATAATACCTTCCTCGTAGAAGCCCCCCTCCTTATTTGCGAAGAATTCGGACAGCCACTTTTCACAAGCCTCTTTTGAGTTCAACTTTGCCAGATACGAGCTCTGTAGCGCTTTGTACATAGCCGCGAAATTCAAAAGACAAAAAAGCGGAAGGGAGATGTTTGACAACCTAATACAGCTTTATTTTGCAAATTATTCTCAGCATTCATTTGAGGAATTGCAGGCAATGGCACGTTTATGTCCTAACGCTTGGATGAGCTAAGAGACTTTTCTTCAGTCTTCGTAGATGACTCCCCTGAATCCTTTGCAGAAACAACAGCCTCTTCCCTTTCTTCATCCTTTGTGGATGTTTCTGCATTCCTTCGATGGAATTTGTATTGGCTCAAGTAAATGCCTTCGACTTCCAGATATTCGCCCAGATAGGACTGAAGCTTCGTCTTATTTCCGGTTTTTTTTTTAGTTGTAATTTCGTCAAATCCCGAAACTTGATCATATTTAAATTCGTATCTTTTAGTATTTATTCAATAATTCCACTTCTGCCACCCATTGTGACGATTTTCCTTAGTACGCTTCGCTGATTTTCCAAGTATTTCGACATCGATCACTGAATTGTTAAATAAGAATCACAAAATGTACATATTGTTACGATTTTGTTGAATCAACCTCGATGATTTTCTGAACCCTTCGGGTACGATCTCTGGATTGTTAAATAAAAAATCGCCAACTTAATTTGCAGTTTCTTTCGTTATAAAGAAGTTATCTAATGTCCTTTATTTACTCAGTAATTCACAATTCAATTACAATGCACTTTACTATTTACAGTCACTTGCATAAACTTTCACAATTTACTTTACTTAAATGTAATCTCCAACGCGTTTACTTTACGACTCTGTACTAATGTTGTCGCCAACGAGTACACTTTGTAACTGACTTCTTGGCAGCTGAGTGTCGCCCTTATATAGCAGTCGGCTGCTCGTAGACGAAAGTGTAGAATAATTGAGTTGTTCGCTATCGAAGGTTCTCGTTTTATCGTTCTAGAATGTACTAGTTATCGGCTTCTCTCTTTCGTCGGATATTCGCCTCGAATTTTCACCGCAATATTCTTAATTGTAAAGAATTCAATCAACGTTTATTTCTTACTTAATAAATAACAATTTGCTTTACTATACACGACAGCTTGTTTTACAATATTCACGTTCAACCATTTTCACATTGTACCGTGGTTGGCATCAATAAGCTCACACTGTGTTGACCACTCTCTTATGTACTTCACTTAGTGTTCGTACTCAGCTCTGGATATTTGCTGCATATTCTTACAATACACAGAAGAGTCGATACTAGTGCTTTAGAATGTGCTTTCGATATCGGCCCCTCCTTCATCTGTCATTCGTGTTTACAGCAACGAATGTATGCCGCATTATTTTTGTCCGGTGTAGAAGACCTATTATTATGGTGCTCATATAAGTTTCACCTGATCAGCTGATAGGCAGCTAACGTTAACGTTGGTGAATGGTAGCACTTACAATACGTGTTTATTTATAAGAAAAGTTGATTAGTCCTTTCTCATAATAATAATAGTGTGTTTTTTGCAGTTTTCGTTAATCATGGCAGAAATATCCACTGATCCAAAACAAAGCACTCGCATGCAGCCACCGCCTGGCCTAAAATCACTTATTGAACATTGTCAAAGTGTTTATCCAGATCAACCAAATCCCCTGCAAGTGACAACTGTTTTAAAATATTGGCTAGGAGGCCAAGATCCATTAGACTACATTAGCATGTATGATAACAAAGGCGATCCTGAAAACGGAGTTCCTCCACATTGGCACTATATTAGCTTCGGTTTAAGTGATTTACATGGAGACGGTAGAGTTCACGCAAGGGAAACGAATGATGAACGTTCTGGGATGGGATTCGAAATAACATTCCGTCTGCTTAAATCAGAAGCTGAAAATAAGAGCGATAAAAAATCCACGCATCCACCAACTTGGCCTGCAAATTTATTGCAAGCAATAGCCCGGTACTGCTTCCAAACTGGTAATATGCTATATTTCGGAGATAACATCCCTTGGCGAAAAAGTCTGGATGGCAGCGCCAATTCACGTTTGCAGAACATTTTGATAACACAGGATGAACAATTGGGCAGTATTGAGACAGTTTTTGGAAGAGTGGAATTCTGTCAAGTAGTTGGTGTTACAGATGAGGAACTAGAACAAGCATCCCGTTGGAATGGTCGCGGTGTTCTTAATTATCTACGACAAGATATACAAACAGGAGGGAAATGGTGGATTACGAACATGAACCGGTCTCTCAGTGTTTTCGAACTATTTCCTGAGTTATTGCTTAATTTGCAAGATGACTTGGAAAAGCAAGGCTCTGATTTAGCTGGAGTGAATGCCGAGTTCACTTTCCGTGAGATTCGAGAAAACCAATGTATCAAAACCGAAATAGATTCAAACAGCTTAAATGAACAATGCGTCTCGGATGAAAACAATCGCTTAGAAAATTTGCAAATCAAATGTGAGGACGTTAGCTTTCCACAATCAATGTCAATGAGCAGTAGTTCTTTACATAAATCTTGTCCCCTAAGTTATCAGCCTGATTCGGTAAATTCAATATCATTAGAAGGAATCGAAATAACTTTGGCACCCTATGCTGCAAAATACCTTATTTTGGCAGTAAAGGATCGCATTCGCCATGGGCGCCATTTCACATTTAAAGCGCAACACTTAGCACTAACTTTAGTGGCAGAATCAGTTACCGGATCCATTGTGAATAAATCTTCACCATACGGTGTAATTGGGTATTGGATACAAGTGCTTGTTCCTAATGAATTAATTCCACGTATGATGGACGACTTCCAAGGCTTAGAGTTAGAGGATAATGTGGAAATCAAAAAACGTATCGAATTTAATTGGCCAGAATTCAAATTGAAATTAATTATTGATAATCCAGGTATTATGATGGATCCTCCTCCTGCCGGCTTATAATTATTTTTAACATAATTCATCAGTTTTTAATTCTTCTATAAATGCAAGACCATAGAAAAAAAATATCTGACGACTCAAAGAAAATAATTAATAGATTTAACCGATCCGCAGTCCGGACCAAAATTAACCGAAAAAATGAAGTACGACACAAATTTAAAGGCTGCGGTACTCGACATATGGACAAACATATGTATGTCAATATATTTTCAAAAGGAATTAAAGCCCTACGAAGTTTCCTGAAATTTAAATTTGAATTCAAATCAAATTAAAATGCGAACATTGGCTTGTTGAAGATTAAACACTGTCCTCATTCAATATGAGCTGTGTTTTCATAACACAAATTGGTTGAACTCTTGTTCCAATTAAGTCAAACAATAAGTTTACGGCTTTTAATATAAATGCAGGAGTTACGGTATAGAACATTTTCCCTAGATTAAATTTTTTTTGCATGATTTGTTGTTCAATCGGTGCATAAACCTCCTAGGCTATTGATGTTTGAATGTAAATCATTTTTTCAGTTGTTAACTTGGTTATCAATGTTTTCAAAATTATCTTGAAATGGCAAAATAAAGTAAATGCCGTGTATTAGACTATCTTTGCACGATTTAAGTTTTTTAGACAAGAAATTAAATACTTGCATATGGGTTTTTAGTTGATGATTATGAATTATAATTTAATTTTAGAAATGTATTTATATTTTAAATAAATTTTAAACATTTATAGTATATAAAAAATATTAATCGAGTTTGCAATTTTTTTAATTCATTTTTTGAGTTACTGTAATAATTTTTTTTTTATTTTGATATTTTATTCTGAAAGAAGTACCTAGTGACTAAGAAAATTTTTAGCACCTTTTTCTAGTTTTGTTAGAAATCATAAGACGGTCACCAAGGCAAAATATTTAATAATACATTCATATATTTACATAAATGGAATCTAAGAGCAGAGACCTTCAAAGAATGCTGGCTGAATAGATAGAGCCGAATAATATTCAATTTTCTATCCGATGTGCATTTCCGACGAAAATTTTGCATGATTTGAATACTATTAACCCAGTAAATCGTGCGCGTGTATGTGTTCGTTGCGCTATGTTAGCATATGTCGGCTGATGAAGGATAGGTATGTGCACATGGTTGTTGTAACCGCTAAATTATTCCCCAAAGTACTTTTTGGAGAATGTTGCGGGAGTGACAGTCCTTGACCGGATAAAAATACGGGTCGTTCCGGTGTAAAGACCCGACTGTCGCGGGAACTATTGGACTTTAGTCGGCTCTTACGACAGACATGCCTTACCGCGGGTAAATTCGTGAGCCCCTAACACGCAGGGGGGTCGTTACCATCGGGAATACTTTGCAATTCCCCTGAAGAATGGATTATACCAATGATACAAGTTTTTGAGTTTATGGCGGCTGCAAATTATACTACGCTTTGATATTCAAAATTGTATGGATAACTGTGGATACCGTAAAAGAATAAGCTTGCGGAACAACAACAACAACATCAGGGGTAGCCAGAAATAAAAATAGGTGTGTGTTTGTGAGAGAAGACATAATGCGCCAAAAATACTACTTATATATATATTTAAATAATAAATTAATTTCAAAATGTATTTTTATTAAATCCTCGTTATAAGTTTTTATCGTCATAGAACATAATAAATATTACATGTCATTAAAAGCATTAATAATTATAAAATTGTTCTGTTTTGAAAGCACGAGGGTAAGATCAGCGTTCCATAATTGTGCTATAAAATTAGGACCACTGCACTATGCGCGATGACAACCCAGTAACTAAGACTATTGATGCCTCTACCACTGCATTTTACGCTATAAGCACTTAGATAGTCCATGACCTTAACCAAACCGCCCCGAAGCATCCTAGTAGTACTGGATCTGTCAAAAGCTTGGCTCTTCATTACCAACCACCGGAGTTGAAAATGTGCACCACGGGTCACCTGAGTGGTCGACAGTCATCAGCCCCGTCGAAACAGCTCGTTTCCTGGACCTACCACTAGATGACCTCGGCGACTTAGACTGATCAAACTTGTGCCTAAGCGAGGTTAGTGAACCGCTGCAACAACAACAACAACAACAGTCATCAGTAAACTTTCGAGATCAATCATCCAAACTCCGTAAGATTGAACCAAGGGCTCCGCAGCGTAGTGTCCTCTACAACCACATATCAAAACTACCTCCACCAGAGGGCAAAAAGACAAAGAAAAATTGCTGACAATTTTAAAGACAATTGGGCGGTGAGCCGAAAACTACGCTGCTCCGATTTGGGCGTTGGGGACTAGCGAGACACAGATGAAGAGGCTAAAAGCTTGTCAGAACTCTGCCTTTAGGTCCGTGACAGGAAACCTGTTGCCACCGGAGCATGGCATGCTCAAAGAAACATTTTCTATGCGTTAAGGAACACAATACTATGCTGTGAAAGCAATATCTTCTGGGACGCTACCGTATGGAACTCTCCAACAGCCATTTACCTCAAGCCGAGCATCCACCTGGGCATACCAGGAAGGCATTATCCGACTACAAGGAGTCCATTCAGAACCACGTAGAAAACCGCAGGACAGGACGCCGTATCGATAGGCATTAATCGCCACTTCAACACATTCACGAACTCTTTTCCAATGTATGTCATCCTCGGAATCTCAAAATCCAACCTATCTGTTGCAGACGAAGAGCTCGAGATACTTCAAGTCAACCGAGTAATACTAACACAGTTAAATAAGACGCCGTACGACACTAAACACCTCTTTGTATGCCTTTAAAACTCATTCAGCTCCTATTCAGGCTTGACTTGCAGTTACCTATCGTATTGTAATGATTTTAGCTAAATAAGCCCCGATGATTTCCCAAATCTCAATCTAAATCCGATGATTTGCCAAATCATTCATCGAACGTAGGAACAAAGGTATCCTTATATACAATACTGTTGCGAAAATGCGAGGCGAATGTCAGATGAAAGAGAGAAGCCGATAACACAAGAACCTTCCATAGCGAACAATTCGATGCTTCTACGCTTTCGTCTGCGAGCAGCCGACTGCTATATAAAGGCGACACTCAGCTGCAAGTCAAGCAGTGACAAAGCAAATTGGTTGGCGTTAACATCAGTGAAGACGTAAAGTGAACGCGTTGGGAATTACATTTAAGTAGAGGAAATTGTGAAAGTTGATGTTAGTGATTATAAATAGTAAAGTGCAGTATAATTGAATTGTGAATTACTGAGAAAATAAAGGACATTAGATAGAATCTTTATAACGAAAGAAACTGCAAATTAAGTTGGCGAGTTTTATTTAACAATCCAGAGATCGTACCCGAAGGATCTAGAAAATAATCGAGGTTGATTTAGTAAAATCGTAACAACACATATACCGTAATGAGGCTGTGTTTACCGCTCTCTTGCATACCTTGCTGATTACTCGTATTCAGCATTTTCTTACGATATACAGACCTATTTACAGACTTATTCCGTCGAGGTAACAAAATTTACTTTGGTATTAAAATTTACCATTCAGTAAATTTTGTTACCATTTCGTATTCTGAGCTCACTGTTACCTGTAAATTTTGTTACCAACGAAATAGGAGGTAACAAAATGTCTGCTTTTTGATTTTGTGATGTAAGTTTCAGAAAAAAATAAAAAACTAAAATGGGTTGGCATATTTTAGGCCTGGAATTCATTGAAGTTGAAGAAAAAAGTGCAAAAAGCCGTATTTTAAGAAGTTTTTGAGACTAAAAAATAGCCCTTTTAATTTGTAAGCTAACGTTTTCATTCAGCTTTTTTTGTTGTCCAGGCATGTTTTCCATAATTAGGTTCAAATATTTATGATTTAATAAACAAATTAATAAAACTTTAATTCTTTTGTGCTCTTTCTTCCATTTCGATGTGAATATTTTTCTTTTTACTTTATCAACTGGCAAAAGTAATTTGACATGGACGAAAAAAGCAATGAAACATTGTAACCAGTTCGCCAGAATACCAAATTCAATTTCGGGTGTTAAAAAAAGTAACAAAATTAACTTTACCAGTAACAGTGAGAATAGGCCTGTTAGAAGGTGCTTAACTGACATATCTAAATTAGAGCGTTCGGCGTAGCGTCTTCTAACGCCAATGAGGGAAAACGCGCAATATCCCTAATTTTAAGAACATTTATTAAATTAATTGCAAATATTTCAAACAAGGTATTATCAACTTAATCGGTGGGCAAAAGTGTGCCACCAATTGAATTAAATTTTCAGCATTATTTGCAAAATACTATTTATTTGCCAAGTTTCTCTTGCATTCGCCTATTCCTCTTCGACAGTTTTTGTACTTTCTCTCGCGCTTTTATACTTCACATCTAACTTCATCATATAACGCTCTGTCGAAATTGAAAATTCCATTTGCCCAACGCTGACCGCGCGTTATTGTGGGATGTCCCATGCAAATTGTGTATGGCCATGAGGATTTTTTACAGTTGTGCAGCGCTTAACGCTCCAATTTAGGAACAGCAGTAAGTTGTCGGCCTTCGCTCCATATGTGACATTTTCGCCTCAATACTGTTACGATTTTACTGAATCAACCTCGATTATTTTCTAGATCCTTCGGGTACGATCTCTGGATTGTTAAATAAAAACTCGCCAACTTAGTTTGCAGTTTCTTTCGTTATAAAGATTCTATCTAATGTCCTTTATTCTCTCAGTAATTCACAATTCAATTATACTGCACTTTACTATTTATAATCACTAACATCAACTTTCACAATTTCCTCTACTTAAATGTAATTCCCTACGCGTTCACTTTACGTCTTCACTGATGTTAACGCCAACCAATTTGCTTTGTCACTGCTTGACTTGCAGCTGAGTGTCGCCTTTATATAGCAGTCGGCTGCTCGCAGACGAAAGCGTAGAAGCATCGAATTGTTCGCTATGGAAGGTTCTTGTGTTATCGGCTTCTCTCTTTCATCTGACATTCGCCTCGCATTTTCGCAACAATACAAATTGCAAAGATGTAACCATAGGATAATTTGTTGATGCTATTTCTACTAGGTGGCAATTTTATAACGTGAACTTTGCTGTAATTACCGTGTCATCACGACTGAACACAAAAAAAATAGAGGACAAAATTGTATTGCTGAAACTTTTCGTTCTTGGAAAAGTGCATTAATATTAATTCAAGAACACAAAATGGAGCCTTTAGTAGTGAACCAGCCTGTTGTTATTGACAATGTAAGTATGCCGTGAAGAATTTTCCTTTAACAACAATCTTAAAGAAAGCTGGGTGTGTGGCAGTATCTAATGACATCACCCAACTTTTAAAGCCGCTAATAACGTCTCACTCTTTCCTTACCTAAACTCTATTTGGTCTAAACTATATAATATGTATGTACACACAAGGGAATTGGTGACTAAACTTTTGAATATATCCAAAAGTGAAGTTGGAGAAAATAATGTAGTTTCATATGTAAATAAATTCTTTTTATTATCAGCGCTTGTATTTTATACATGACGTATGGTCATATTGTCCCCTTTGGTTGATACCTTTATCTAAGCGTAGGTCCCTTTCATAAATTACGGGGTATACCACTGGCTGTTTTTCTCGTACCCACGTTACGGGCAAGCTTAACAAGACAGTATTTTTGTCTGTTGCTTTTCGTCCACATTTTCCGTAGTGCTGCTTAAATGCTTCTGGTCTTAATAGCTTATTGTAGGGATCACGGTAGTAATCTCTAAAATTTTGGCAATCTAGATAAAAGTTGTCAATATTGTCCAATTTTGCATAGTTCACCATAGTTAAACCAATTTTAGGAGCAAAATTCAACATCGATCTTCTGGAATTTCTTGAACTTGCAGAAACAGCTAGCATATCAACCTCTGGAGCGATGATAGTCCTCATATTCAATTTAGAGCTCAGTAAATTATAGGAAATTACTTAATTTGAAATTATTTTTCAAATATTTAGATTTTTTACATATACATATGATTTTATTCGCACAGGGCTCTGGGGTTATAAAAGCTGGCTTTGCCGGAGAGCACATTCCAAAGTGCCGGTTTCCAAATTAGTAAGTATTCAATTCAATTATAAAAACTAAAATAAAACAATATTTTCAGCATTGGGCGGCCCAAACATGTACGAGTAATGGCTGGAGCTCTGGAGGGCGATATATTTGTTGGCCCTAAAGCAGAGGAACATCGCGGCCTGCTAAGCATACGTTACCCAATGGAGCATGGTATTGTGACTGATTGGAATGATATGGAACGTATTTGGGGTTACATCTATAGTAAAGTAATAAAAATGCAATATTTAAAAGTTGTAGCTTGTAGCAATTTTCATTACTTTCAAACAGGAACAATTATCAACGTTCACGGAGGATCATCCAGTTTTGCTAACGGAAGCACCGCTAAATCCTAGAAAAAATCGAGAAAAGGCAGCTGAATATTTTTTTGAAGGTATAAATGTACCCGCGCTTTTTGTATCAATGCAAGCCGTCCTCAGTCTGTAAGTAGATTTCGTTTTAAATATATTTTGATATATCTTACGCTTTTGGCATAAAGCTATGCTACAGGCCGCGTGACGGGAGTTGTGCTCGATTCGGGGGATGGCGTTACTCATGCAGTTCCCATTTACGAAGGTTTTGCAATGCCTCACAGTATTATGCGTGTCGACATTGCTGGACGAGATGTAACACGTTATTTAAAAACTCTGATAAGAAAGGAAGGCTTTAATTTCCGGTCAACGGCAGAATTCGAAATTGTTCGTTCCATCAAAGAAAAGTTATGTTATTTAGCGACTAACCCGCAAAAGGAGGAAAGCGGAGAAACAGAAAAATTTGCATATACCTTACCCGATGGCAAAACGTTAGAGGTAATTTATAGAATATTTCCTGCAAAAATTACATTTTTTGATTCCTTTTATATCACATTAGGTTGGGCAGGCAAGGTTTAGAGCACCAGAAGTTCTATTTCGGCCTGATCTGCTTGGTGAAGAATGTGAAGGCATTCATGATGTACTTATGTATGCCATCGAAAAGTCGGATATGGATCTCAGAAAAATGTTGTACCAAAATATTGTATTATCTGGTGGGTCAACTCTATTTAAAGGATTTGGCGACCGTCTGCTATCGGAATTAAGAAAACACTCAGCAAAGGATCTAAAAATTAGAGTAAGTTGAATAAGTAATAACATTAACAAAATTTTTTATTGCTCATAGTGGTGCAGTAGGGATGATGACATGACACAAAGAAAGTTTTGAAACCTATTCTTTTCAAATAGATTTATGTGTTATGCCAATTTTCGGTAACAGTTCCATTTCCGGCACATTTCTGATCTCATTTGACAAAATAAAATAAAAATCCTTACAATATGAACGAACGGTAGAAATTATTAATTATTATGCATTTATTCATTTACATACATAGAGAGAACAATCCATGTATAATGGAGCTATCACTACAAGCATTAAATAAAAGTTTTTACCAGAAATATGAATGACAAGAAACAAAAAAAAAATAAGTTTCTTGGTGCTTTCGTCAGTAGCAAATAAAAATGAAACATTTTTTTTAGATAGTAAAAAAATATATAACATCCTGAGTGTTAGAACAGCTATTTCGAAGGAAGAGAATACAACACTTTAAATTTTACACAATTTTCGTTCAGAATTCTTGGAATTTAGCGTATTGTTAATTTGCCTTTTATGTGGGATATACACCATAAATACATACTAATAAAATATGTTCTTGGCTCAAGATTAAAATCTAATTGTGGTCTGCCAATTCCCAACTCCTGAGTAAAGGATCAAATTATACTGCCTCGTCGTCGATTTTAAAGCAGTCTTCGATAGATATTCTACGCGAGCTTACTGGATAAAGGACAAGATCCGAATTGCATGTTGCTAAAAAAAACTAAATGAAATGTATATTTTAGGTTGTTAGCATTCTTCAAAAAATTTTCGAACTGAATTATATTTTGGGGTACAAGAATATCATATTTGATACTTACAAAGAAATTTTGTTTTATTTTACATTTTAGTAGTGATGCAAATTTATGCAAATTTTAAAAAATTCTTTAGGGAATATCTATGATTCAAAAATAAGTATTTGTGCTACTTTTTTTTTGTTTCTTGTCATTTCAAATATTTCTCTACAGATTTATTTTCATTATTGTAATTATTGGTGAGCTACAAATTGTTATTTTTGAGAAGCCAAATTATTTTAAAAATCTAAATTTTCTCTTACATAGATTGCTGCACCACAAGAACGTTTATATTCTACGTGGATGGGAGGTTCTATTTTGGCTTCGCTAGATACGTTTAAGAAAATGTGGATTTCAAAACGAGAGTATGAGGAGGAAGGACAACGAGCCGTACATAGAAAGACGTTTTAAATAGCGAGCTATATACTGAGTGTATTCATTACTATAAGCTAATGCTTTGGATTAAGTGCTGAACTGAATGCAAACTATTGTATTCAAAGTTAAGAACAAAAGCAAAAAATATAAACCTGTACTGTGAAATTTAAATTTATTAATATAATTTAAAAATAATTAAAACTATTATTAATTTATTAGCATCGCTTGATTGTATTATAACTAAAAGTATAACAACATGAATCCAGAGCGTAGGCATTACAGTTTTTATTGAGTGCCCCCACGAAATAAAATATGTAAATGTTGTAAAAGACTTAAATAATAGGAATACTCGTCTAAAAGGATTTAATTAAATTGCTTATTCAGTAAATCGAGTTATATGTGTTATTTATTTTGAGCTATTGTGTTTATAAAATTAGATGCAGCTATTAATTTAGGAAAATATGATTACAGTCTCAAGATTTATATGGAAAAATTTGATAAATCATATTTTTATGAAATAACCTCCTATGATTTGGTAAAGAAATTAAGTTTCAGAATTCAATACACCATTGACAGCAGCTCCTCCACCTTAACGGACTTTTTTCTATACAAGATTGAAAATCCAGAGAATTGTAAAAAGGATTCAAATAAAAAACCATGAGAGAACATTTCCATACGTTTTATGTAACCTAATCGAGTCTATGTCAAGAAGACGCGTATCGGAAGTAAAACACAATGGATGCGGTAGGAAATATTAAAACTAAATAAGTAAATATGCAATCAGGTTTTTTTCCAATTATATACTAATGTACTTTAGTTATGTCGCCAAGATTTTCATACAGGCGATTCAATTATGAAATATTATTTCAGTTTAGCAATTCCATTGTATTAGTTTTCTTAGCACAACAACGAACTTGCGCTCTTGTAAATAACGTGCCAGCCTCTTTGTTTGAATTGTGCTTACACTAAGCCCAAAACCGATACAAAGTTATATTATGTACCCCATCAGATTTTGTATATTTATCTATATATATGTATGTATTTATGTACTCGTATATTGGTACTTTTTACAACGAATTTTCCAAATAAGCTTAACTTTTTTAGAACAAACAAAAATTTATGCGAGAGGACACACACTGCTGTTCATGCGTCATAAGAGCCTAAGTCTGATATTTTAATCCTTTAGGATAATGGATTTAGGATATAAATTTTCGTACGATTCTATACAGTAGAGTACGATTTTGTTGGATGATTTCTGTTCTTATAAATGACAAAAAAAGAAAAATTACGCTCATAGAATTGAACACATTATGGCGGTAATAACTTACTTCGATCATAACAAGTTACCCGGTTATGGCTTGTGAACACCAATATAAGGTGACTCACGCAACAGTAACTTGACTATAAACTACATAGCCACTACCAGTAAATCTAGTTAGTATTTTGTAACGTTCGAAAGGTCATATTAAAAGTGGCGTTGTCTCTTGCAGTTCAAATCGGAAAGCTTTTTAGTTCACCCGCAGTTGTAAAAGCGTTAAGTTGTGTGCATTAAGTAAGCGCATTACTCTTGGTCTCTGGTTACTATGGCAATATGTAGTGTATAAACAGCAAAGTTTTTTTTTTTAAAACACATTCATAAAAACCTATGTATATATGTATCTATATATACATAAATGTACATACATGTATACATAATAACAAATATCAGACGAATAAATAATTACAAAAGTATAAGAAATATAGTTCGTACATATTCATAAGTAAATATGTATACGTAGCTAGAAGGATAGAAAGCATAGTGAATTCAATTTCCTATGATTTTGCCATAATTAACTAATGGAAATTAAACCTCCATAAAAAGTAACGATAATATTGTATAGGAGTTATGTAACCAAAGTGTCATATTATCTCTTTTCGGCTTATTCGTGCACTGTTTAGAAAATCATCGGAAAACTACCTGTTGGACTTTTTGAAAGATTGTGAAAGAAAGATCTAAACATTTATCGTCCAAATGGCACAGATCGCCACAACTATGGCAAATGCTTTTAGTAATGAATCTGAGGTAAGCGCACTATTTCTCAGAATGTACAATTTCTTCTTTAACTTAGTTATTTCGCTGAGTAGTTTGTAGTACTAACTGGAATAGCATATAGGATTATAATTCTTGCTCCTCGACAGGGAACGTACTTCAGTGTATTTCTAACAATCTCCATAAATATATGTACATACATATTATTGTGAATTTACCGGGCTGTGCCTCTTTTGGATCAAGTTTTTTCCGTTGCTCGTAATTTCGATTTTGAGGGTACGAAGTAGTTTAAAAATACGAATTTTTATGTTTAATCGGTTTTCATAATATGGAAATTTCATCTTCAAAAACAAAATCAATTTAGTTGTGCAGAATATTTCAGATTGATGTATTTTAAATCTACTTTCATTCGAAAGTGGAATACAGGAAACGCCTGATCATTTTAACATTCATTCATTACCGTGTTGTTGTTGTAGCCGCAAAAATATCGAAAGTAGTTTCTGGGGAATGTTGCGGTAGGGACATCCATTAGCCCAGCTGTGTCAAAGCTGTCATTAGTTATTATCGGAGAGTTGATGGGCAATCGATAAAAACTCTGTTCGGTCAGAAACTTCAGGAACAACTAACCGGTAATGAAATGTCAAAACTTGGCGCTCTCGGTGTAAGTTTACAGGCCTTTTTAGATATGCTGCTACGAGTCTCTAAGATTTTACGCAATTCATGCATAAAGAATGCTTTACATGCAACCAAACTCCAACAGTTTACTGAAAACGTGCTTAACACAGTCCTATCTCTTATTTTGTCATTTATTTGGACAGAATGTTGACGAATGTAGATATAATACAGGGCATAGTGGAGATAGCTAAATAGAACAAACCTTCGATCAAACATTGGTACTGTGTCGTATCGATTCTTAAGTAGGGCACCTCTCACCCAAGCACGACGGTGTCTTTAAAGGTTTACACGTTTCCGTACCCCAAGTTCTCTGACATCTTGGATCTACATATGAACCAGTACTCCGCTAAAGGGGAGTCCATTAACCACCTAGCTCCTTCAAAAGTGGGAAAGAGTTAATTTAAAGGCTACAGTAGGTCCACATATTTGGTGGGAGGAGCTGAAGGCAAAGTTACGGAAGTTTCTTAATAAAAGTTTTATTAACTGTAATTAACTAGAACATTTCATATACAAAGAAACCTGTCCTAACGGACACATTTATTAAACGGCCACTTCTCTTGAGCGGTCTTTTTTCATGAACAGAGTTTTAAGTGCAACTCTTAGAACAAACGTCCTTCTCTTAGACGGACTCTTGAACGGACGCGAGTAGTTATTTGCGCTAATAATGAGCAAGAAACCTCTAGGTTTAGAAAATGAGAATTGCCGTGGAAGCAAACTTTCTAAAGAAAGGCTCTCTTGCTGTTAAAAAAGCTGTTTGCCCAAAAGATTTTTACCTTTAACACCATTGTCTTCAAGTTTTTCATAATCAAAAGCCTCACAGGAAATGCCACATTAGGTCACATGATCGGTTCCGGAAGGCCTAAAATATGACCACGTGGTTTATGGACAAATTCTTAGGATATGTTTACGTTTATCCGTATTGATCAAGACGTTGATCCTGAACAGAGCGAATTCGATTTCGGCTTGAGCGAGATATACCCGTATTGTTATATATTGTGATATCTCGCACATAGTTCTATCCCATGTTTTTATTTGAATGCTACTTAAAGGTTAATATGCATTTTACTATAATACTCAAGGTCTTTCTTTCACACATGACCTTTAAAGGACATTGTGTAGTTTATCGAGTAACATGGAAAACAACAACACAAAATAATTAACTTGAGTTGCTTAGATCAGCTTCAATTAAAGTCTCTAAAACAATAGTCAACTTGACTAACAGTGTTCCAAAGTAAAAAGGTCGTACTATTTTCTACAACAGTTGTTTATCTAATGCTCGGTTTCACACGAGTTATATCTTCCTTGCATGCTATATGTTCGTAGATATTTTAAGTGGCAATTTTCAATATGTATGTATCTGTTTAAATGGTTTTTCATAAATTTCCCACGGCTTATTTAATAGTCTAAAGGGATACCACCCCTGCGAATAATTTATCGAATAAATAAAACATGTTTCTGTAATGAAAATGAAAATATTAGAAATGAAATGAAAGTGAAAATAGTTTAATTGCCTTTGATTTTGCAAGCTAGTTTTTTGTTTGGATTGTACATATGTATCAATGAAAAAATCCAGGTGCGTTGTTCAAAAATTCTCATTAGGCAATTAAAGTATAATTTAAATGATCTACTGCATTGTTATACGCGGACTTTGAGAGAGAATTCATTACTATCTCCAATGCCAAAAAGGTAGACCTAGTTTTACGAGCACAAAAATTAGTAAACTTGAAACAAATGTAAATGTGAGACGAAACGGCTTTCGGGTTTCGTTCAACGCGTTCTTTTGTGCCACTACCCCGCAACTAATTTCTGGAACTGTGCGTTGCGTCAACCAATTTTCTATCCTTCGAAAGTTCTGCCAAAGATTTTAATAATGTAATTAAGATTTTTCATAACTTATTGGAATATAATATAATTTCCATAAAGTTCAAATAATTCAAAAAATTTTTATTTTGACCTGGAATCAATTATTCCTGTATCTGTTTCCTTTTTTCGTTGTTTGGCGTCAATTTGGAAATACCAAGTACAGCAAGGACCTTCCCCACCTGATTTTTTACGGAGTGATATACCACTCTACATCCACCGACAGGTACTAATTCGAAAACTTTCATAGCAAAATAATTCATATCTATCCGAACGTCGTGGCCTAGCCAGCGTAGTTGCTGCCTCTTCATTCGTAGAGTCCATCGCTCCATCGGCTGCGTTATTTGCTGTTGTCAACGTGCAGAAGAACTTATCATAAAAGCTCATCAGATTTCATTTTCGCTTAACTCCACCACACCATTTAGCAAGACGGATATGCTGAGTAAAGTTCGGTTTTTGTTCGTCGAAAGTTGGTCTTTCAATTTAAGGTAGCAGATGTTGGCAAGAGGGATTTTGCGTTTTATTGGAGCTTTTGTTGTTGTTGTGAAAGCCGGATCCAATATAGAGAAAATATAATTACGACTTCAATGCTATGGTGTAAAGTAAAGTAGAGATTTTTTGATCGACTACATGGTTTTTAATGTTTCCGCTAATAACTCTACGAATTCAGGTCCAACCAACGAACCAACCATACAAAGAATACACATGTCACCATGCCAGGGGAGATTCTAGATCTTACCAATATTTTTAATCGTTTTTTAATTATGTCAAACCCAGTTAAAACACATTTGTGGTATGAATTCGATATTGAAGCTAAGCATGTGTTGATTGAGATATAATAAAAGAATAACTGTTTTTTTTTTAAGATTTAGGTATTCATGCATTTTTCTTATTATTTTTGACGATTTTAAATTGACATTTCGTATCTCATTTTAAGAAGAATATAGTCTTCCGATTCCGATGATATACAGTAGAGATATTTTTTGAGGTTATTTATTACCAAAAATCTAATAATCGGATGTATTTCTTTTATAGTAGCAAATGATATAAGAATACATCTGTTTATCAAATTTGGTTAATATATCTTCAAAACTAAGGAAGTAGTTTGCGTCCAAACAGACGGGCTCAAGCGGACAGACGGTATATATGTATCCATATTTTCTTTATTAAAATAAAAAGCATAAAATAGAAGAAGATTATCGGTAAGCTTTAGTAGAAAATAAAAGAATTTTTCTATTCATTTTTATAAAGTTTTTCAAGGAAAACATTTCTTCTTCATGAATTCGCTAAATTTAAGTTGCCATAAAAAGTTTTCACACATCATAGATTTTGCAAAGTACAAGCTGTGTTCGTTGAGAAATGTCAGTAAAAACTAGCTAGTAACGATTGAGAAAGTAAGTAAGTCTTACTTTAAGTAAGCTTTTAAGTTTTCCCTAAAATGATTGAAATATGAAAATGAGTTTATAATTAACTTGCCGTGTGAGCTGGCAATATTAACTAAAAATTATTATAGAGTTTTTTCGATTATGTTTAAATAAAATCCAAGCAAGTTTTATTTTTTTTTTGCATCGTCGTCGCTTCTGGAAGCTTAAGTGTGCATTATCGTCATTGTGATTGTGACGACAACAATGCAATGTTTTGCAGCTCATTTGGTCGACACTGCTTTCGAATAAATTTTAGGAATCCAAAATCATTTTGCGTTGTACAAAAAATAATAATAATAATTTTTAGTTCTTTGACTACAAAATTCATATTTTTTCAGCGTGGTATGCGGGCGATTTAAAGTGTTAATTTCATTTTGATTTTGTTTTCTTGACAAAAATTCATATGATCACCAATCAGCTGTTTTTCATACTTGCTACTTTTTACTGGGTCAAATTTTCCCAGCACGAATTTGCACACTCACTTGGACTCTCGCCTAATAAACCCAAAAGGTCGCCAGTTATCATGAGTACTGCGGGTGATCCAATTAGAGGCATTTTTTTCTAATGGACCTTTTTGACAGATCACGCGTGAGTTGTGTCAAGCTGTCATTCGCGTTCCGATGTTTTCGAGTCGTTGACTTTTTCCTTTGGGGATATGTAAAGTCTGAAGTCTATGCGTATAATCCTGATTCGATTGAGGCCATGGAGAAAGAATTACGCGTATCATTCGCCGGTTATCTGCCGAAATGCTCTAACGAGTCATCGGAAATTGGGTTCAACGGATGGATCATCTGAACCAACATTTAAAAGAGATAATCTTCAAGAAAAAAATACCAAAGAATTTTCTTTTAAATGATAATAAACATTCCCAATTAAATTTGAATTTTCTGTGTTTTTTCTTTAAAAAAAAGTAGGGAACCTCAAAATGGATCAACTTTTAAAAATGGTAGATAGGAATTTAGTATTTGCTGAAACCAGAACTAACTTATCCGCAGTTTACTACCCAGTAATTATCGACATCTAGAACTAACTAATTGGGTAAAAAACTTAACAGTATGCTAACTACAGTGGCGAATATAGCTAGACCAAATCAGAAAACCGAGCTAAAGTCCGGAAAAATTATAACTATCAACAAAATTGAGTTGCTGGTCCGAAACAAGCCCGATGCGTAAGCCCGACTTATAATCAAACTTGCAAAGACCTTAAACAGCGCGTAATTACTGAAGCACTGTTGAGATTGCGTAACGGTTAAAGAATCAGAACAGATAAAGAAAATATGACTTGTTTTGCAGAGAATCTCAATACAGTATTTGAACCAAATACTGCTTCAAATAATGCACCTTTGCCACTAAGCCGTAATGTGCGAAGATACAGTGTTAATTGCGGGGCATCTATAAAACTGAAAAATATTATTGCCGTACCATATTAAAACTAGGTTATAGCACAAATACGGAAAAAGTCGCAGATAATTATGATAGCGAGGTAAAGACGCAACCGTGCTGTCATCATATAGACCAATTAAACACTTTGCTTTGCCTTACCAAACTTTTCAAAAAAAAGTTTGCTATCAAAATTTACTCATTTTTTCCATGAAAATGACATAACTCCTGCACGTTAATTTGGATCCTGCGAAGAAAATGGCACCATTGAATAAGTAAATCGCTTAATTAAAGAAAAATAAAAGCTTTCGAATACGAGAAGTATTGCTCGTCTACTTTTTTAATATAAAAAAGTGAATACATAACAGAGGAGTATCCAATTACAGCATGTGTTCCGCAGGGAAGTGTTCTTGAACCAATATTGTACATAATATTCACCGCAAATATATCTACGAGTGACAAAGTAATTACGTCAACACGTGAGAAAGATATGCTATAATAAGCGGGCATAAATTACAGCCACAAAAAATGTTGTAAAAAAGTTAATGAAAATAAATTCAAACACACAACTTTTACATTAGATCCAAAACATATCTACATACTATATGTTGGAATCATGGAGACGACACATCCCGGCTAAAAGGCTGCAGCTCAAACTGAAATCTGCAGGGACTGCCCGACCGAGGGGATAACTAATGTTCATTAATTGATATTCAGTCGAGGGAACTTTCGATCAGTCTCGCACTGAATAAAAGGAAGAAACGGTGTGTATGCATATCATCGGTACAGTTATTCTATTCACAACCACTTTGCTATTCAATTTACATACAAACTTTCAACAAAAGAGTAGAATTCAAGCATAGCGAGTCTATAATCGACCACATAAATTGTGTTCGGTTTCCATTTTTTGTTACAAAATGCGTAATAGAATTTCAATTTCTGAGAGTGTTTTACAGTGGTTGTGCGACTCAAAGAGAATTAATTACAAATTTTATTTCAATAAATGACTTGGAATGGAAACAATACCACAGCTTGACAAAGGTTTTACTTTAAATTCATTAGCAAAGCAATTCGGTGGGACAAAACCAAACACATCGCGCCTTAAAAACCGTAAAAAAAGCACCTAAAATTATCATCAGTGGAAATCTTTAAAAGAGATAGCTAAAGGTTTAATAAAAAGTTAGGATGGCTCAATCGATTTAAATCGAGAATCCGAATCAGGTTGTTAAAAATTTGCAGTGAAAAGCTGTAACTTGAAATTCCGGCAAATGAAAAACGGTTTAAAAGCCGTTGAGACTGGTTCAACCGCATCATTAGAATGCAACCCTGCATTCTATAAATTTGTCTTGCAACAATACTTAGCAAACTCTGACATTTTGGAACGCTTTTCGTGCAAGTAAGTTGCTTTTCGGTGAAGTGGCTGAAATGTAGCACAGATCAAAAAGCAGGTAATATAATGTTTAAAACAAGTAATTGAGGGGAAAAACTGGCTCTCAGACGTCCGCCGTTGTGACTGAGAATTTATGATAAAATAAAGTCACAAACCTTACCGATGCATTTTGGAATATAATACATTGTCAAAGCTTGCACAGTTGCATTTAGGAATCGGTGACAATTTATGGTTACATTGCAACTGACGTTCTGGAACTCACCCTTTTTATCGGGAAAAATGTACGTGAGCTCCGAAGAAAAAAATGATCCTGACAGAAAGACTGAAATTGCACGAATCACAACTGGGCAACATAAATCAAAGCCATTGATAACAAGTCAAGCCGAAAAGCAGTATCGTTCTAAGATATATAGAAGCTCAAATAGGGCATGGATGACAAACCAAATTTTTCGCGATTGGTTTCACAAATCATTTGTACTAGATGAATAATATGAATAAAAAGGTAAAATAAAGTTATTAAAAACAATGTGGATCAATTTTCGCTTCACATATTATTTACGCGGTTGTTCCTTTCTTAAGCCATTCGAAATAAAACCACTCGCGTTTCGAGTATAATTATACAATTGTTTATATGATTTTTAATACAAATCTTATTTTTTGTATGATGACAAAATATATTTTTTATACAATGTCCGCAATTTGTATATGTATACAATTATTATATATTATATATAAAATCATTATTATGTTTTTTATTATTTACCGGGGAAGTTGATTAGAAAATTTCGCTTGTTTGTTTGGCAAGCACGGCTTACAGAGAACGTATAACATAGAGAAGGTGCAAGGACGGATCAGATTGTAAATTGTCAAAAAGCACGATTACTTCGTTTCACGTAATCGTACCACACTCCTCACATGGTCCGCAAATCTTGCTATTAATTAACAGGATTGAGCGTAACAGTATGTTACTTTGTAAACGAATGTAAATTGATAACATTGATAAAAATAACAAAAATATCGCAAATTTTTCCGACGGCATGCAAACTTCAAGCAAATGTTGATGTAAATGTATCTGTTATCCACATGCAGAAACTCACATATTTCCATACATACATATATAGTAAAATATTTGAATAAATATACTGAAATTCAAGGTGAGCATTAGTACATATGAACTTATGTATAGACTTGCATTCGTGCATGCGTACTTACTACATACATACATATGTACATATGTACGCTCATACGGTAAAGTATGAATGAATTTTGACTTGTTTCGATATCTACCTCCAAAAGTAAATAATATTAACCAAATAGAATATTTGATTATGCCTCATTAGATACTAATAGTTACAATTAAAAATTTATAAGAGTTACATATGTACATCATGTTTGTACATAATAAATATGTGAGTATATGTACATATGTATATGCAAAAGGTCATCTAAAAGAAATTAAAATCAACAACACATGTTACTGTCCTTAAGAAATACATAATTATTAAAAATAGTTAAAATGTTATAGATAATTAATTTATGATTTCAAATTTGAATTCAATTTGGTCATTTATATGTGATAAAAGTAAATAAAAGCAGCTGTTAATTTACATTTGCATAGATTTTAGTTCTCTGGTGTGTTTGCATACGCTCAATTCTGTTAATTTTTCACATCTAGGTGAGACAGAAATTCACCAAACGAAATTTTCCTGCCAGAAATGTCAGAAACGCTGGTTTTGTACCTTCTCTATGTTATACGTTCTCTGGCGCTGTCGCCTTCGTCGTCGCTCCCTCCCCTACTTTGCCGATCGTGGGCTATACTAATCTACATATGCATGCATTTACAATCTAAGCACCCTTTCAAAGCTGAATTGCATTTCTCATATTTCGCCGGGAACGGAATTATGCAAAAAATTATGGTTTAAACGTTATTTACATAATCCGTGCGATGTTTACACAAATTCTACTCGTGGAGCAGTTATCCCGCCGCTCGTGTTAACTTATACCTGCATATTTATGTACATACATACATATTTACATAATTCTACATATGAAATTATTGCAGTGGATTCAACTTTGAAAAATAACACAACTTTATTCACACCGTGTATCTCTAATTGAGGGTGGATTAATTAATTAATTAATAATTAAGTTTCCCCTAACATAGAGTTAAAAATTAGTTCATTAACGGTTTTCAAAATTACTATACATACATATGTGCAATGATGTATTTAAACTACATTTAACTAATGTCATTTTAGATGAAGGCCATGGACGCTAATCGATATGCCACCAAAAAAACTATAGCGCAAGGCATGCTGGACATCGCTTTACTCACCGCTAACGCATCTCAGTTAAAATACATTCTGCAAGTTGGAGAGCAACACCAGTTCTATAAATTAATGCTAATAATGATAAGTCTTTCTATAGTACTGCAGGTAAATATCAAGTTTACTTTTTTACGCATGTGTACTATGTTTGTACATATATATATATATGTATAATAATACAATAATAATAAAATGGTAAATTTTTTACCCGGCTGGACTATGACCTAAGCTTTTTCTAAATTTTGCTTGGACTTTATTCAAAAATAATCCAAGAAATGCTAAATCCATTATTTTCATATTTCCATCATCCTTCCAGAAAATCTAAGCGACAAAATGTTACAAAGTAAGTTTCACATAAATTTTCACCCTATCATAATGGCCCTTCGAAGCATGTAAATAGAAATAATACAGCTTTAAGATGCGGCAAAGCCGCCAAATCTATTAAAATACTTAAAAGCAGAAAACAATATATTATATAAATGAACGGATTCAAATGTAACTGTCAAAATAAACAGCTGTTCTACAACTTGCTGGCCAATTTTTACTGAATCGTCATCGGGGAAAACGCAGTAAATTTTTCTCTTATATCGTTTGCAGCGTGCTTCAATACGCGCATATAAAAACGGAATAGTATAAATGTGGTGTACAAGTAGTTCCGATTCATTAGCGTTCATCTTTGGTCGGTACCTATAATTAATTTTGTGGAACGCCACATTGATTTGGCCTTGATGTGCTTAGATGCAAGATTAAGTTCAAATGACAGATAGATGTTTAACTGAATTTCTGTTAGTTATTGCTTAAATTTATTGTAATTAATCGAAAAAGATGTAAGTGTTGAGAATCAGTTTTATGAGTGAAACTTCTCTATCAATTCCATGATTTGTCTTGTCCTCTTGCTGACTGCCAAGCTCCTATTAGATCTAAGTATATGTATTGGTAATAATGGTAAGTACGAGCATAATTTGATCTGGACACATTTCGCACGTATTATAGAATTTTTAATCCGAATTTCTAGATTAACAGAACTTCAGAAGTTTTACGCATTGGCCAATCAAATGAAATTAATTTAGTACTTAGAAAAATTACGGAAAACTAAAGGTCAATAATGCCACCATTTGCCACCTAAACAGCCGGGTATTTTATGTTCGGTTCACCTGAACTCTTTCTTACTAAATATGTAAGAAATTAATTAATTATTATTCACTATTCTTTGTGACACTCAATGCAGATTTTATCTGGTGTGTTAAGTCTCAGCCTGAGTTTTATGCGTGATTGCAAAATGCACAAGCCTGAATACTATCGGTCTGCTAATGTTATTAATTATATCCGCACAGGATTCGCATTTTTTACTGCCACCATAAATCTCTTCATATCAGCTTTTGACACTCGCTTACCATTAGCCAAAGGGGGACAAGCCGATGGGGAAATAAACTGAAGATATGGTAAGTGTGATAGCGAAGAATAAATTTAACATACATTTGTATATATATATGTACATATATATGGCATATTGTAATCGCTCAAAAAATTTCGGCCGAGCTCTTGGTCCAATTTGTGGTATGCGTTGATGTTTTCCAAAAAATGAAGAGACCTATAGTTTTAGTCAGAATACATTCAAAGAGACTGGCGTTCTCTGCCCAGGGGGGGTGTCGACTTCAAATAGAATAATTAATTATCTACAATTTTGGATTTTGGTCAAACCAGGACTCTATGGTAGTACACAATGCTAACAATTCTGCGGCTACGACCGCTAGGAAACTAGTTTTTCGATCAAATTCAAATGACCACTGTCAATCGTTTTGACAACAGCCTTAAATATATTAATTCTTTTGCGCAATATGCTACAATTTTATTAAAATAAAAAGTATTTAACACTTTCGTGAACTTGAAATGGTATTAGCTCTGCCCCGTGAGCTCAGTGGTACTTAGCCAGTAACATGTCTTACTCTCCAACGGAGAGAAGTTTGCAAAGTTTTCGTTCAACAGGATTCTTATCTGCTTATTTTTGTAGAACTTGCTTTGCCATAATTCGTCGCTTGGATTGAATTTCTTGGAATATTTTCGTTCTTCTTCTGCATAAAATACAAGCATATATTACAACAAAAGCTTTAGTTTTCCTTAACATTACATTTTATCCACCGCCAACACTTTGTAGTAAATTGTGATTGAATCATCATTCAATTTCAATTAAATGAACATATATACATATGCCTAGATACTTGCCAGCACCAGGAATGGTGATCTCTGACACAGAAGGAAAATTCACCTCGCACCACCTCGAATTTTTCACCCAGAGCTCACCCCCAAGCTAGGTGGTGGGCTCCGGTTCATAAGGTTAAAAGAGAAATAGTCATCAGGCATCACATCTTATATATCCTAGATTTAATTTTAGCTTCGAACTTCTTCAGTTATGCACAGAAAAATATGTGCAATTACCAGGAATGGTGATCTCTGCCACGGAGGGAAAGGTGTAAATAAGTGTGGCTCAAATGCTTGAACTGCTCGAATTTTTTGGAACAAAATCTGACCAAATCGGTATAAACTTTGATGAGCCCTGACTCTTTTTTTACTTCTGGTAATTATGTAAATACTTCGCACCAAAAAAAATATACCATTTCACGTTCATGGATGGTATAAAAAGTAATATATGTAATAAGTAGTTAGTAATGAGACGATTATAGCCATTAAAAATTAGTTTTGGGAGTCGCAAATTATCTACAATATTTACGTGTTCACCAAGCATCGATTTTCCATTGTTTGTTTTGCTAATATTCAAAATAATATATTATTTGAATATTTGTGTTGTTAAAGATTCGACTTTAAGTTATGTATTAATTGTTTTGTTGAAAATATTTTATGTCACCACAAAATTTAATTTTGCTTAAGTGTCAAAGAGAGCAGCAAGACTTTTTATTTAAGGTGCATCCACTATTTATGATTCAAAAAATTCTATATACAATATATATAATAAAGTTGCCACTTTATAACCGGTGAAGCGACTCAGGCGGCGCAATAGCAGAGTGATTAACAATGCATACCCCAATTCTAGCGTTCATAGATTCGAACCCTAGCGGGTAAAACATTAAAATGATAAAAATATTTTTCTCTTTGCGGTGGTCACTCCATCAGTGGTAAAAACATCAAGACGAAAGCGCAAATTGTAGAAAAGAAACAAGAGCACCTATTGTAGATAACAACAACTGCAAAACTGAAAAGGAAGTAGCCAAAAATACAACTTTGATTACGTCATAGAATCGGTTGAAACGATAGAATTGTGAAAGTTTTCTTGAAATCCTAGAGCCGCCAAATCTATTAAAATACTTATGTAGCCATTAATAGCTTCGAAGACATTTAAAAGTGAACATGATCTAAAGGTATCCTTCTTTCCGGTCCATAACCTAACTTTTTCGCAGCTTTTCATGCCGATAAGAAAAAAATAAACAGAATTATTGACATTTATTCACCCGAAAGTTAAAACCCATAAAATAAAGCGATTCGAGTTTTCTACCCAAAACACGCAACGTAATTGGAATAAACTAAATGGGTAAAACATAATTTTCTTGTCATGCGTCTTAAACACTTCTGATGCACCTACTATTCCAAATATTTATCGAAAGATTTATATTATCCCTGGACGAAATGCAAAAAATCTACAACTATTCTACATAGTTTTGCTCCACTTCATACACCCCTTGATCTTTTTAAAACAAATAGAGAGGCCTACAGTTTATTCGAAGCCGCTGCTGAGCGGCAGATGAATATTTATGAGGGGCTTCTATTTTATGTCAGAAGTATACTCGGAGGGCTTGACGCTCCCTGTCAAAAGGCGAACGCAAATAGAAAAATTAAATATCTAAAATATTTGTATTTGATTCTTGACCTTCCGAATGCTACTGCGCAATGCCTACCATTCGGGCATTGTGGCCACCACACAGTAAAAAATTACTGTCACAATTGATATATTATATGATTCGATTATCAAGTATCAACCTTCTAATTTTATTTTTGGTAAATATTTGTACCTTTAAAACGATCGTTTTTAAGTCAGTTTGAAGACTTAACTTCCGGGAATTTAATGTTCGGCTCTGTCGGATTTTAAATTTTTTAGACTTTTAAAGAAAAAATATAAAAATGTATACATATATATATAAATATGTTTATACATATAACAAAAATTGGCGGCATTATTTTGATATAGCGATACAAAATTGCATAAAATTCTTACTATAATTTATGGAGTTTCATCTTTTTTTTCCATAGCTTTTAGTTGGAATCCTTTTTGTTCTTATTGGCAGTCTAAATATCAATCATCAAAAGGATCAAACGGCCGCCATGATTATAAATGACGTCATTCTTGTTGTTATATTTGTCATTTCCGTCCTTAACGTCATAATATCGGGATTCGGCATCGAGTATTCTTCTCAACCCTTTATACTTACTGAGCAACAGACAAAGTAATTTCTTCAAAGATTAATTACGTAAATATAAGTATAATAGAAAGATAAGCACACTTTTATTTATAAAACAAATTTCGAAAATTCAATACTTACCGCTTTATGTAATAATTTTAAACATGAAAAATTAAACTTTTAAATTCAAATTTTATGAAAGTCAAGAAAGAGTTAAGCTAATAAGTTAAAATTCGTGAAACTAAATTTTAATACTATGTAAACAAAATTACATTCAATTACTTAAATTTGTTTGTAAATCTCATTATATTTTAATCAATAAATAATGATGGACTACAAAAATGATCATAAAAATAATTGTATTCTATGATTTTTAGGTAAGGCTTTAAGTAATCATAGAATCGAATATTAAGTTAAACTATCGTCAAAAGCAATCATCCGAAAATATCCGAAATATCTAATTTAATTCCTTAACATAATCCTACAGAGCAATGACCTGAAAAAGCATCTAGAAATTACGAAAGTGTCTGCCGTTCGAACGAAATTTTCTAATAATAAAAAAGGCGTTGTCTTAAAATATTTGGTAGTAAATTTTCACAAGAAAACAACTACATCGCGATAAACTTGCAGCTATAGGATACCTGAGCACTTGATTGTGGATATGTAGGCAAAAGGAAAAAGTGAAAAACAGCAATAAGCGACACACATGTAGCATGCCAACAAAAGGCATTCCCCAAAGGAAAGTTTCGTTATAAAATAAAATGTTTGAAAAACAAATGCACTCCTGCTTTAGTCGGCATAGCAGCCACTTCCCTGCAAGACCGGAGTTGTGGCCTAACATTTTAGCTGTATGTTATTTGTTACTTTTGTAATAGCCGTGGGAGCTCTTTTTAACGAGATTAAAAACCCAAGTATAATCATAGATAGCAAACTTCCCAACCGGGATAGGTGGAGAGGTGTAAGAAAGACCACAGTCTACGCTGCAAGGCGGCGTTTCGACAACACTTTTTCAGCAAAAAAGCCAGTGAGGACGAATGAGAAAATGCAATATTCCTTTATAATAGATCCGGATCCAAGTAGGTCCTGAAGTAGACTCTGAGTTCCTTGCTATAGAATTAAGTAAAGGCTTTCCCGTCTTAACAACGGATAAGGGAAGCAGCTTCACTGTTTCATTTCTAAACGATAATTCAACCTCATAAAGTCTCTCCAATGCAATCATACCACTTTAAAGGGGGCAATAAAATACAAAGAGATCTGAAACAAACTCTCGACTGTATTTAAAATTTTCGTGGTTTGGTTCCCTCCTATTTATGGTTTTTGTCTGGGATACCTACAGTTTATACTGAGTCGCCTCCGAAAGGCTGATGGTTTAAATGAGAAGCCTTTACTTCAATGAATATACAATCGGAGGGGTTGACCTTCCCTGAAGAGGGGCGACCGTAATTAGAAAATGTAATTTAATTTTTTTATTCAAATTAATCTTCAATAACTTTTGGATGTTGGGAGTACTGGGATTTGAACCCTGGCCGCAAACTCTAGCCGTGAGAGAAGTAAATTTGTTACTCCCACTTGCTTTAGGTACGTGTGATTCTCTTATTTATATTTGCCTTAAACAATTTCTGGATATTTTTGTTAACCTATCCATTATAGTACATAGCTAAGAACATAGCAACTCAGCTCATACAAAGAAAAAATTAGACAGAATAAAGTTGTTTAAGTCATAATTTTCAGGTATTGAATGAAGATTTGCCCACTCGCTTCTTTAAAAAAAAGGTCATAAATTTTCTATAGGACTTAAGTCAGGACTCTGGGCAAGAGCGTCAATCAATTTACTGCAATTATATGGTAGTCACGTCCTGTACAGCAATGATTTATGTTTGTGATCGTTGTCCTGGTACAGATTGTACCTGAATTTATTGGGGTTTCATGGTCAACAAACCCAAATCTTATCGCATTTCCTGACAATTTGTTCTTTAGAATGTCCAAGTAAACAAACGTCATCACGTCATTTAAAATTCGGAGCTCACCAACACCTTTCGACGAAATGCAACCCCAAACCATTACAGAAAACTTACCAAATTTTACTGTGTTGGATTTTCTTCAAACTTTACTGGGTCCATCATGATAGTATAACATTATCTTTGTCTCGTCGCAAAAAATAACGTCATCCCAGTATTCCGCAGTCCTGGAAACATTGGTAATAGAAAAGTGGAGCCGCTGCTCAGTATTGACTACCGACAACAATGTTTCTTTCTAGCTATTTGCGAGAAGTACTTGTGTAATTTTAAGAGTTTTCGGATTGTTTCGTGACTTACTGTTTTGTGGCAGACATTTATAATATCTAACCCCGATTTTCTCAGGGTGTTTGAGGATTATCACTGATCTGCTTTAAAATTTTTAAATGATGGCTTTTAGAAAGTTACGGTGGTCTACCTTCAGAGTGCTATAACTCCAAACTGTTTTCTTTTTCTACGCGTTTAATAATATCATAAATCGTTCTAAGCTTGATGGAAAACATTTCCGCTAATTCCTTAGCCGATTTCCCTTTGTTGTAGTTAGAATAAACAAATAGAATACGATTTTCATTAGTTCGCTTGCCAGGCATTGTTAAAAGCACTATATCAATAAGATCTGAACTGTCCAAAGCATTAATCGAACTAATGCAATAGAGCAACGCTTATCTATGACGCATGGTTTACTCGTTTTCAAATTTTTAGTACCGTTGAGTTATCTGCGTTTTATTTTGAATTGTATGGGCATTTTGCAAAGAATTAATTGACAACGCAATATTTGGCAAATTTTAAATTTGTTATTTTTACCATTCGGGTTTAATGTTTGTTAAGTCTGCTAGATATATTTGTTAAGAATAATTAGATTAACAAACCAATTAATAAAAAAAGGAAAATAAAATACTTTCATTTATAAAATAAAATTTGAAGAGAGATTCTTGTGATTTTTGACATACTGTATATTTCCATCCATGGTTAAACAATAAAGTCTTAAAAATTTTCTATTGCTGGTATAGTATTCGTCTGATATATCCTCATCCATAATAACGTCGTCTTCTGGGAGCCATTCAATCATATTGTGATCATATTATTATAATGAATACACAAAATGTCTCCTTGGCGTCGTGCAGCTGTTTCAAATGGCTTAACCGTAGCAGACGTTCCAGTAAGAATTTTAAAATGATAATGATAATAAAAACCGCGCTTCTCTAGTAACTCTTCCTAGCAGTTGCAATACACGACAATTTTAGTTACATTTGGACAATTTCTGTTGCATTAAATTGGACATGTGTTTCACTGCAACCCTGAATAAGTACGGCACGGTCAGTGAAAGAGTTGGAAAGAATTCGAGAAATTAATGAATTGAATTCACGTGAAGAAGATAAATTTTCTGAAGAATATCAAGGCGAAAGCCAAAGTGATTTTCGAGACAATGAGGAAACTCAGGGTTACAATGTGGTTGGCGATGAAAATGAGATTTTTTGAATATCCGTAGAGGACAGAGGCGCCATTTTGATGAATCAAACATTTCAGTGTGGGCAAATTCACTCTCATTTCACCTCGAAATTTGTGAAGAAGAAAGAAAAAATCTGCGAGAAGGAATATCAAGCAACTCTAAGAAAAATTTTCAATCCAGGATAAAATGTGAAGTAAGATTGTGGGCGGTCAATAATACAAAACAAACCTGCGTGATTTATAAAACATTTGTTTGCGAGAAATGTACGAAAGAGAAACTCATCCTTTTTTATAACAATGAAAAAACGTATTTAATTTAATACGCAATTAGAAATGATGCTGCAACTTATTTTAAAAAATATATATATAAAGAATTTTTGTGTGAATGTTTAGTGTTCATCACTGGAGTAAATAGCTTTTTGATTTATCATAAAAGGTAAAAAGGTATGTGCAAGTGTACATACTTACATTTGTACATATTATATTTATTTTGATGTTTTAATCAAATCAAAGACGACCAAATATCGCACGAAAGTTACATTTATATTTAGAGACGCAGTTCTTAAATATCTTTGCTATTCTGTAGAGATTTAGAAATGGGTAATCAATATCTGTAAAACTGAAAATTAATTTTTAATTCATCGCTCGAATAAAGTATTAAGCAATTAAGATATATTTTATTATTTAGTCAGATATGTTTTTTACCTTTCGATTTGTATATTTTCGCCGAGGAGTAATGATTAATAATCAATATCTTGTTAATTAGTTTTTTGCATCCAGAATAACGATTTTCTTTTGAGCTTTGAGTTTCTAAATCACTATTCGAGTTTTAGTTTACTGATTAAAAATGACAATTCTTACTAAGCAATGTTTTGCCATTCAAAATCAGAAAATAAAATTTAATACTAACTTTTCTATGTACATATTGGCCTTCAAAAAATTGTAAAGTAAAAAAAAAACCATGAATTTGCTTAAACAAATATCATTTTCCGAAATGCAAATTGTCAAATGCTTTGTGGCTAGGTAAATACAAGCAATGAAAGTCAAAATCGAACTAAAAATAATTGAATAAATAAAATGCACAACGAATATTTCCATTCCATAAATAAATACTTAAGTAAAATTTTGATTTTGTTTCACTGATGTAGAGTTAATAATTATAATTTCTTACGGTGCTTTCCCAAATTTGTTATTGTAAGCTATTCTAATTCAGTCGGATTAATTATGAAAAATTATGGTATTTTGTTCATTGGAGACTCTCAATATGGTGGGAAAAGCCGGCTCGTAGTATAAGATTATTATTCAATCGGGCAACTTTAATAAAATTTAACCTTACTCCTCACACATTGGCCTCTTGCCATTTATTGGAAATGGGTGATTCTTTGTGATCACCAAATTTTAATTATTTCACAAGAGTTTATAAACAAGAGAATGATTATTTTGATCAGAAATTATAAAAGTTCATTAAAAAGTAATATTTTGATAATATTCAAAAGTATTACAATTTCTGATTCTTAGTAATAAATTATAGGGCAATAATGAGAATTTTATTTAATTTTAATAGCATATTGAAAATATGAATTCATAAATACGTATATGTTTAATAGATAAAATATAACAAACTGTACACGTAACTTTTCTTGTTTTTTAATACAGGTTATTGCGGGATCTCTAATGGTTATTCTAGCAGTAATTGGGATTCACAAAAGTAAATTTCAACGATCGATCGCTGAGAAATTAAATCATATTGTCAACGGTATAATTTTTATATCCGTGTTCTGTGATATTATCAAAATGAATTTTGGTCTTGATCCATCAATTGTTGTTAGCACAGCAAAAACTAATAAATGAAAACAATAATATATTATTTTTATTCAGAGAATTTTTTAAACGTTAATTCAAAACAAATTTATGTAATATTTGGTATCATAAATATAATAACACATAGACTATATCCACTTAAGTTTTAAAAATAAATCTTGATATTTGATTTTATATTGTGGACAGGTGATGTATATGTATGGGAAACTCTCTGACGCTCTCACAGGTCAAACACAAGATCTAAGCTCTGAAGGAATCCAACTAAAAAGACTTTGAAAATTAACTTCCAACATCTCTCAAAAACTTTGATCATATGAAACCTTTTGTATTTTAGTGAATGACCATTTTCTTACTGAATCGACTGACATTGCAAATGCTTTGGTCTAATTTTTCTAAAGATAATAATGCTAAAATATGCTGACTGTAATATCACTCTTCCTTATCTAATGCTGGGTAATTTGTCTACAATGGTCAAGCAAAGGGTTTTAGAGCGTTACAATATATAATTAATATAATTTGCGTTTTATAATCGCGGTTAAATCAAAATCGCTTTTGCTTTCAGGCTCATACTTTAAGGCATTTCAAATAGCCGAAGAAAATTAACCAAAGACGTTAGAGGTGGTTAAAAGGTATGGTACGATAAAAAGTGCTGAATATTTCTGAACCCTGTAGAGCAGATGCTTAACATTTCGAAACTGGTAAGTCCGAATTCACCACTCCTCCGCAGCGCAGTGTATTTATATTATTACAAATTTTCGGCCAGTTGGAGATTTTCAATTTATTTTTGTTAAATGTAAAAAACCAAATCCTTTACAAGTACTTTATGATTCTTCCTATCCAATTTTAGGCTAAAATGGAGACGAGAAAGCGCAATATAGCTGAGGATATTCCACCACCAACGCAAACAGAAATTCGCCACATGATCCATTTCGGGCTTCGGCGTAATTTACACCCAATACAAATATTCAGTGAATGCCAAATTGTATATGGAACGATTGCACTGTCTTTAAAGACTATTTCTAAGGAGTTCCGAAGATTCCAGGCCGGACATTTTTCTGTAGGGGAAGAGCACCGAGGAGGTCGGCCAATACCTTCCACTGCGTGACTGCAGCTCTGGTGAAGTCTAAAATCGAAGAACACCCACGATGGACAGAAAAACTGATTGCTAATGCATTGGGCTTGAATGAGTATGCATTGGGCCCGATGGGTACCATGAATTTTAATAAGGCCCAAAAAGATGCTCGAGTGCATTTTGCTGAATTTTTCCTAAGCAAATTCGAAAATGGTCAGTCTAGCAACTTTAGCAAAGTCGTTACTGATGACGAATCTTAGTTCTATTCAAGTAACTTCGACCTAGAAACCAAACAGCAGTTCAGGAGGACGTAATGATGTCAGTTTACTTCACACGAACTAAAATCGAAGTCAGACGGTAACTGCAAATTACGAATATATACAAAAAGAATTTGTTTTCTGGTCAACTTACTGAACTTTAGTTAATCTCCTCGTACCTTTACTCATTGGCTAGTGAAGAGGATATTGCAAATGCTGTTTATTCACTAAGTAAACTCAAGAGTCAATGGGGCGACAAAAACATAATGGAATGATTAGTTGGATCATTCCAGATTGCTAAAGTGGAATAACTGTCCTAAACGCGTTGTCCTCTCATTTTAAAGAAGCAAACTATTAAACAGGGCAATGGGGACAAGTGTGTATCAAAGAACGCTAGCTAACAAACCCAATCAATATTAGAAGACGAAAATCAGCAATCATGACAAATAGCCGAACGAGTTTCACTCAACTTGCACTCTTGCTTTCTGAAAGCACTTATCAGCAACTCGATATAAGGGAACTGTGAAACGGTAACTCAAACTCCCTTTATACCGCCACCACGAAAACAATGGGCTTTCGGCAATGACAAGAAAGACCTGATACGATGAAGAGTTGCGAGCTGCAGTGGAGTTACCCACATGCTGGGTGGCATAGATAATGGGAGCTGAAGAATGAAGCAAGACACATTTGCAGACGACACATTGCGTGACTATGAAGAGGTTAAGAATCCGGCCTACAAAGAATTATATAAAATAATTTGGTAACCGATGCTTACACAATACTTGGTGGGAACAACTCTCCATCCTGCTGAAAGGCATTGAAAATGCAAGCCGGAGATCATGAATCCGAAACACCAATCGATGATTATGGTAAACCAACCATTGAAATGCGGCAAATTTTGGAAAAAACCCGTGAAAAGAGGATCGACACACACCGCCTTTTTGTCTAAAGCATCTTTCGACAGCACAAAGACGAGCTGCCACTGCGCCGCTATATCTGAATTTGTTATCCCTGCATCCCTGCAAAACTTATACGTTCATGTAAACTGACGTTAAACAACACAAAAAGCGCCAACACCGACGCCAAACGAGGTTTCAGACAGGGGAATTCCTTATCGTGTGGCTTCTTTAATATATTGTTGGAGAAAATTATAAGAGCTACAAAGCTGAATATAGAAGGTACAATCTTCTATAAGAGTGTACAGCAGCTGGCGTACCCGATTGACTTTATTGACCTCAACAACCGTGAGTTCTGCTTTCCCCAGACTGGATGAGAAAGCGAAGGATATGGGTCTGATAATGAACAAAATATCTCCTGTCTTCAAACAAATAGTGAGAAGAAGAACTGAATTAATGTTATAAATTCGGTTATAATCACGTAAGCGGTGCCTACACCAATAAAGAAGGAGAAAGGGTATTGATATGAAAAATGGCAAAGTTTAGTTGAATATGTTCACTATAAAATATTATTACACAATATATTAATATACTACGCGGACAATCTGACTTAAGAAAGGTGGTTACAATATCTATTAAAAAAACAAAGAGTAATAATATATATAGATCTATTAGAAATTCTACAGTGGTTCTAGTGCTTAAAGCAAAGCTACGTTTAGTCTGCATTCATGCGTTCTAGTATAGTTCTATTGTGCCATCACCTTAAGACAGTTGTGCTAACTGGCAACTCACTAATTTACATATTACCTATCGTTCCCAAGTAGAATGATGACGACAACTATTACTTCTGAAAAATCTTCCACCTTGTAAGCAACGTTAAACTAAAACCTATCATAATGAGCGAAGGTCTAAAGGTAGGATATACTTCAGATAGTAATCACGAAAGTGGAAATATACCACATACGCGGCAACAGACAGGTTTGTTTTTCAGATAAACACAGCCCGCTTCGAACGAAATATTTTTAGACTGCCCTTTAAGTACGCATCCATCCGTTCTATGAGACAAAATCTTCCGAACCTGTGGAAAAGCTGCGAGCCATGACTTGTTCGTGATGAATATGTCCTCAAGCTCCTGAAGACACATATCTTCGTCCGGAGGAGGGTAGCTACCATGTCAACGGAATCCATCCTGATGCTGGCTAATCACAATAAGGATTTGTGTAAGTGTATTTAGGAGATAATCCATCGTGAAGGCACTCCGGAAGGAGATGCCATCGTGATGGGTATAGGATTTGTACTCAGTTCTAGAATCGGTAGGGGCAAGGCTCACCTCTTCTTCCTCAGTGTTCAATTCATAACTGGACCCGAAAGGAGGTGACAAGGTTTTCTTAGAAATGATGTCTACTTTCTAGTGCCCGAAATATAGAAGAGAAGAGGAGGCAAATGAGAACAAGGAGATGCTTCCACCACACCTAGCTTGTCGGAATACCATGAGGACATCGAGGCAGTAGCATCCAGTGAATGCGTACGTAGCATGTGACGTATGTAAGCTTCCAGAAAGGCAGCTCGTCATCCCCATTCATTAACCGCATGATCCAAGTGGAGTTTTACATAGTTAATATGGTTACAAAACCAAGGGCTTGCATTATTATCAAAAAGCACTCCAATTTATGTTTTTTAGCAGATATTACAGTGGTGAAACTGGCTAATCACCCGCTGTTTATGCTTTTTGATTTCCCAGACTTACTCCCTACGGAAGAGCTGAGTAAGATTTAATTAGGTATGCAACTCAATTATAGGAGCAGACGCCAACTCCCATCACATAGCCTGGGGCAACTCAGACTATAATAATAGGGAAATAACTCTGTACAATTGCTTTAACTCTAGGGATCAACAAATGTTAGCAACCTACAACCTATATAAATCGACGTAGAAGGAAGGTTCAAGATGTAACAATTTATGGTAGCTGTACAATAACAGGTATATCAACAAAATTAATCATTCAGAATTAACTGGAATAAATATTTAGCGGCCTTGGAGCGGTCCTTGAACACATTCTCAGAACCTGAAAAAAAGCCAATAAGGCTAATAGCGGCACGTACCTTCCGAGTTTAGCCTTAAGTCATAGTAATTAAGAATAGTAATAAGATGGCAACCCTAGTTTAAGATATAGCAGCGAGAAGACTCGGTGCACTAGACTGTCTGCGATCTAAAAATTTAAAATAAAGAACGGTTGGTTGGCTAATTCTGTGTTGGCTGCCGAGAAGACATGACGTGTTTATTTATAAGTACTCGCATCCTTCAAGTTCCAAATCGTAGATAGCATTTTTGGTGGATTTAAAGAAGCTTTTCCAGCACGGTCCTACTCTGGATATGCCTTGGATGGCAGCTGAGCTGGAAAATATACGAAGAAACTGTAGAAAAGCCATTAATAACATTAAATCGTAAGCATAAATATAGGCTAAGGCAGAGCGCAATTGGTGGCGATTTTCTGGGGATAGATTGGCAGCGTTGGGGTTGCGGCATGGATAAAAAGTTGTATCGAAGGGCTATTTCCAGACCGCACTTATGGTTGATATTCATGACCCCAAGGCATCAAATTTGGAAGACTCGAAGAAAATTCAATTGAATACCTATTTCCTGCAATTTAACATCACGAGCTCTGGATCATCTCATTTATATGGACGGGATAGAAAAAATAACAATAACTAAACATTGCCGTTATGTATTTTTCCGGTTTATTCTTTAAAATTTATATTACGAACCAGAGAGCATGAAACTTACGAAAATACTGATGCAATAAATAATGAACGTGTAGCATTCATTTGAACTGTAATGGCAATATAGATTATTTTCTATCGAAATTACTAAATTAATTAGCTTTTGTTTTGTTAATTTGAATTGCAAGAAACAAATAACTTTATTGCTTTTTGCAAACTAAGCCATAATGAATTCCTAAGTCCTACAGATTCTATCATATGGAAGCAGCATAATTGTAAGTGATGTCTTTCCTATTCTTCCATCCTGAAGCCCTCTGGCATTTCTTCTGCAATCACCGCTTATTCCCAATTTTATAATACTAGGTAAGGGAATTACCGTGAAATAAGAGTCCTTAATATCGCATATAAGGTCTTGTCGAGCGTATTATGCGAAGACTAAAGCCCAAAGTCAACAAACTGATTGGACCTCATCACCTCAAAACTTATACGGCTAAGCTGAACTTAAGCAACACTAAAATATCCGTCAGGATCGGGAAGGACTTCTCCGAGGCGTTCGATGCCAAACGAGGTTTCAGATAGGTTGATTCTATATCGTGTGATTTTTTTTTAACTTATTGCTGGAGAAAATAATACGAACTACAGAGCTGAATAGAGAAGATATAATCTTCTATTAGAGTGTACGAGTGCAGCTACTGGCGTACGCAATATGACAATATTGGCCTCAATAACCGCGCAATGTGTTCTGCTTTCACAAGACTGGATAAGGGAGCGAAGGATATGGGTCTGATATCGAACGAAATATCTCCTGTCATCAAACAAGTTGTGGTCGCGTTCGCGACTCGACTCCCACGTCGCTGGTGACAGTCATAACTTTGAAGTCGTAGGTAACATCGTTTATCTTGGAACAAGTATTAACACCAACAATAATGCCAGCCGGTTAATCCAACGAAAAATCACTCTTGTCAACGGATGCTACTTCGGACTAATTATGTAATTAAGAAGTAAAGTCCTCTCTCGACGAACGAAAACAAAACTGCAAGTCGCTTATGACAACATCTGATAAGTCGGCGTTAGGAGTTTTCGAGGCAAAGCATACAACTCATGATTCCGCTTCCGATGGTATGATGAGTTCTATGAGATATACGGCGAAATTGACAAAGTGCAGCTATTCAAGAAACAGCGGCCGCACCGACTAGATCATGTGGTGGGGGAAGGCCTCTACTCTGTTGGAAAGATCAGGTTGAGAAGGACCTGGCTGAACTTGGTGTCTCCATTGAATGGCGCAATGTTGTAAGTTCGGCTACAATTCTGTAAGCGGTATCTACGCCAGTAAAAAGGAAGAAGGTTAGCGAAGTTTGCTTCAAAAATTAATTTGGAAGGAGTTCTAAAGTTACTTGGCGTATGACTGATCAATATTTTAACAAACACTTCGATATGTCGATTTCACAATCCTTCTGAAGTCCAGTTAAACGATCGCGCCATCCGAGTGGCCAACAGAACATATCAAATCGAATGATGGAATGATATGCAACTGTACTAATAGTTAACACCAAATTTTGTCCATCAAACTATAAGTTTGCTTACCTTCCTTCCGAATTGATCCTGTTTCGGGTAGCCCCCTTAAGTTTTAAAGACTGCGCATCATAAACTCCTTCCCTTCCTCCGTTTTGGGGTTTCCCTGCTTCCCTAACCCTTAATAAATTTCAAGTTTTCTAAGCCCTTCATTACCACATCACGACTTTACACCTTCACTTGATTTACTTGATATACTTGTTTACTCAACAATGCGACCGGTTCTCGAGCTTGGACATACAAAATGGCTTCAACAAATGATGTATTCAGATTACCGTGTGTCTATGTTGTATTGTTCACAAATCTATGGAATTTACCTTACCCCAAAGCCACCAGCTCAACCGGTTAAACTGGGTATAAAACTCGCTAGTGACAACATAGAGAAAGAGTGAAGTAGGAAAACTGTATATTAACAATAGACTGGTAGGTGGAAGCAAACCTTCATTTCAATCTCGTGCACACATGGTACGTTTACTCAAGCTAAGCTTGTCGTTCTTTTATAACTTTAACCGAATTCCCCAATATTTTCCCTAATTCAGTGGTCAGCATACTCTGTTAACTTTTGTAAAATTGTCATTTGTGAAATTGCAGTCAATAGAATGTAGATGTCCATGACAGAGCTGACTTAGCTTCAGACGTTATTGCCTCATCCTATATTGTAACAGCGGCACTGTAATTTTCCTCAATAACAATGTATGTGTTCTTGTTTGCTCATGTCGAGGCCTTCCTTTCTAAAGAATTCTCGTAACGGAGCCACTAATTTATTTGACTAATTCCTCTCATTTGACTCGGGTTCGATCATTGGATTAATAAATAAAGGTAACGGATACTTATTGTTTACTTAATTTAGATTAAACACGAAGTTTACTATCTCTTCTGTAGAAACACAGTTTACTTCTGTGAAGACATAGCCCTCCGCTTCTCTTACAATGTAAGAGAAAGAACGATAACCAAAGCAATTGCCAAACAGAATTTGCTAGAGCCGCATTCGGAAAATCATCCTATGTATAAGAGCAGCGACCAACACCGTAGAAAGCTCAGTTGAGTATTTTTAAGCAATGAGGGTAAACTGTGAGATTTTAAAGAATTGAAAGTTAAAGTGAATCGCCTGCTTTGAAGATAGCAGGGGAAGCTGAGTGCTTACAAAGAAGAAGTCGAACAGAAGTTTCGGTAACTTTTATTTAAAGTCATTATTTAAACTATCATTAATAATAGAAGCATTTAGAAATCAACGTCGCTTATTTTGAAATACCTTTAAAATATAATTGCACGGATCAAATTTATTGAATTAATACAGTTCATTCAAAATTTACTTCATCAATATAGTGGTAGTATAGTTAGCTTATAAATAATCTGGTATAATTTTATTTTGCTTGTGCATCTGGTAATACCTGTCACTGTTGCAACACTGCATCGGAATGAACTGTAATGAATTATCTTAACCTCACAATTCACGGTAGAAATTAAAAAACGAAAAAGGTAGAATCAGAGAATCGGTAAAATCGCGTTGGTGCATATCAGACAATTTGTTTTTTAATTGCAGAAAATGTTATTGAAATAGAGTTCAAGTAATTCCGTTCACATAACATTAATCAGTCCAATAATGCCATATCAATTTAATCGTCCAATTCAGCGAATGCATCTAAAAAATAAAGACATCTGAATAAGAATTTGTGAAGAGCAAGGGAGACAAGGCAGTGGAAGAAACTAGCAAATTCCAGGGATCTAAAAGTACACAGAGATTTTAACGAAATTTATTTCGTTTGCGTAAAGTTAAAAAATTTAATCAGTGTTATGTATGGCGAATAAAATCTATTGCTTTCAAAATGTTTACAGAGATTGAAAAGTGTTATGCGTTAATTAAAATATTTTTTGTTATGCAAAGAGCAAGGAAGGATTTGATGCCTACTTTTACAAAACATTGACGATTGAGAAGATATTCTCTTGATGATCATTAGTTACTAAAGATTTTGCGGACATATGTTTTTATATATATTTTAAAATCATCCTAAACTAGCAAGTCTAGTCGCGACTTGCTATTTGTGCCTCTAAATGTAATGGTAGCTATTTTTTGTTAACAATCTCCCTGTTATACGTATCGCTTGTTCAACTCCTGTTAAATCTTTTTTGTTACTTGAGCGAAACATCAAAAGTTATATGTATATAATTATGTTATAAACACCCAATTTTAGTAACAAAAAAATATAAATAAATATTTACACCCGTCCACACCCGCCTCTTCTTCCTGACAGCAGCTAATACAATGCAAATAAATGAAAGATTTGCAATCAATATCGAAATAAGTGAAGGTAAGAATTTGTATAACGCTCTTTACCTAAATATACATATATAAATGAATATATTGACTAAAGATTTAGTCAATCTATCGAGTAATGGCTTTTACACTTTTATTATTAGAGTAGATTTTTAGATTTTATGGATACATCCATATAGAAAATTATAAAAAATTAATTTTTCTAATTGTGGTCGGCCTTCGCCAGGAAAACTAAAAATGCGTGCTGAAAAAGTTTTGAAAGTAAGGAAATTTATCAATATTTTTGTCAACAAAACTAAATTTAAATGAATGATTCAGAAATAAAAGTAGAAGCAAATGTAATTTTATTAACATTAATTCTCTGGCATCATCATTTAAATAAATCCAGAACCTCTTTATGGGACGAGAAGTCCCTTGGACAATTTCGAAAATTGTAGACGGAGATATTTCAAAAAGTATACACCAAATTAAAAAAAATTAAATTGTGCTGTTTTTGAGCATTGATCATACGCATACATTGCCCTATTTAGGCTGCGGTTTACGATCGTGTAGAGATGTAAGTCAAAGGTGCTTTGCAAGAAGAAGCCGGCCCAGGGGTTTTTTTTTTCAAAGAACGTGCAAAGGTATCCATTTCACAACGTTATTTTTCCATAAAACAGATTGGATTTAAAATGGATGAGGAAATTCGTCTAATTGGTATTCCTCTTAAGAATTTCCACATAGAATTTTTTATTCATACTGCCATAAAGGTTCTCTTTTTGAAGTTCAATGTTAGGTTTTATTCGCACAGTTTGACGGCCATCACATTGAAAAATATAGTATTTACTTTCATCCGAGAAGAGTACATTGTTCCAAAAGTCAATTAGTTGCTTAGGTACTCCTTAGCATAGGCTAAACGTTTGTTGTTGTTGTTGTTGTTGTTGCAGAACCCCGCTTAGGTACAGGTTTAATCAATCTAAGTCACCGAGGTCATCTAGTGGGAGGTCGAGGAAACAATCTGTTTCGACGGGATTGGACCAAATTGAGTGTGATATAACCCAGGCGGTTTAAGGGGCATGTGAAGAGGTGGTTAGTGTCGTGAGGAGACTCTCCACCTGCTACAATATCCAGACCTAGGTTGTGCCAAGATCAGTGGGTTCCATCGAGGCATATCAACCTCGATTTTTATAGAAGGTAATCTTGGATTTTGTTTTTACCTTTCTTATTATTTGGCAGCGTTCGCGTCATTTAAACCTTAGGCCTGTAAGTTTTGCGTTTTGTTAAAATGAGATCCCCTCAAATCGTTTCACATTGCTCATGGTGTAGCGCCCAATCATCATTCCATCATTTCACCAATTTTTGCATATGATTTGTCCTGTTTATGCAAATGTAAAATTATTTTCCGCTGAGATACGTTAGTTTCACTTTTTTTGGCACTAATTTTTCTGAAAATTACGCAGAGGCTATTATAATTGAAGGCACTATGATGTTTGCGGTTTGATTTTTGAAAAAAAAAAAAACCAATTGCTTATGTACACATAACGGGACTTTAGGAAAGTTGCTAAAACAATCAACTTTAAGCGCAACGGCCCAGTGAAATTTAAGTGTACCACTAATATTAGTCTGTCTCTACATAGGCATTTTTCTAATATCGAATGCGAAAAATTTTGGCAAACGGCGAAAGTTGCAGCATTTGAAGTAGTGACATGTCCCATGCGACATTTTGTTCTACCAAGCTTTTAACGTTATTTAGTTAAATACCTTTTACGTCTTTAGGCATGCTTCAATAATCATAAATTATGTTTGATATAATCAATATATTCATTTTTACTACCAAAACTACAAACTTAACATATATAAAAGCAAAGAACGGAATCTAACCCAACTGATAAAAGTTTTATCAAGGTCAAACAATTGGTGTTATTAAATTATGCAGTCCTAGCTGCTTCTAGCTATTGACAATCGCAACAAACAAATGCAATTGGGATTTACCTGGAATGCATTTTTCGTCCAACTTATTAACGAAGATAAATTTCAAAAAATTGTCTCAGATGAAACAACGTTTTTAGATTTTGTTGTTGGTGACATTTTTTTTAATGAAGGCCTCAACTCCATCAACAGATCCCTTTTCACGAGAACTAGCAAAAAATTCCTTTCCATGTATATACATACATCCAATTTCCTGAATAATGTTATTCAAACTTGTCAAAAAAAGTATTTTTAAATTGAGCGCATCTTCCATCAGAATATATTGGGTTGCCCAAAAAGTAATTGCGGATTTTTCATGTAGTCGGCGTTGACAAATTTTTTCAACGGCTTGTGACTGTAATTGCATTCTTTCTTCTGCTCATATTTTACTTTATTATTTCCGTAAAGGAAAAAACGCGGAGCAGGTTGCTAAAAAGTTACGAGATGTGTATGGTGATGAAGTCTTAAAAGGAAGACAGTGTCAAAATTGGTTTCGCAAATTCCGTTCTGAAGATTTTTCACTTAAAGATGAGCCACGTTCAGGTCGGCCAAATGAAGTTGATGATGACCAAATCAAAGCATTAATCGAAATGGATCGTGAGATAGGAGAGAAGTTAAATATACCAAAATCAACCGTTCATTATCACATAAAAAGTCTTGGACTGGTGAAAAAGCTTGATATTTGGGTACCACATGTATTGAAAGAAATTCATTTAACACACCGAATCAACGCTTGTGATATGCACCTTAAACGCAATGAATTCGATCCGTTTTTAAAACGAATCATAACTGGAGATGAAAAATGGATTGTTTACAACAACGTTAGTCGAAAACGATCATGGTCCAAACATGGTGAACCAGCTCAAACCACTTCAAAGGCTGATATCCACCAAAGGAAGGTTATGCTGTCTGTTTGGTGGGATTGGAAGGGTGTCGTATATTTTGAGCTGCTTCCAAGGAACCAAACGATTAATTCGGATGTTTACTGTCAACAATTGGGCAAATTGAATACAGCCATCAAGGAGAAGCGACCAGAATTGGTCAATGGTAAAGGTGTCATATTCCACCAGGACAACGCTAGACCGCACACATCTTTGGTCACTCGCCAAAAACTGAGTGAGCTTGGCTGGGAACTTTTGATGCATCCACTATATAGCCCTGACCTTGCACCATCCGACTACCATTTATTTCGATCTTTGCAGAACTCCTTAAATGGTAAAACTTTCGGCAATGATGAGGCTATAAAATCGCACTTGATTCAGTTTTTTGCAGATAAAGGCCAGAAGTTCTATGAGCGTGGAATACTAAATTTACCAGGAAGATGGCAAAAGGTTATCGAACAAAATGGCAATTATATATTTGATTAAAGTTCCTTCTAAGTTTTATTAAAAATGCATTTACTTTCTTTTAAAAAATCCGCAATTACTTTTTGGGCAACCCAATATAAAAGTCTTTGAAAAACGCCCCTACATTTTATTAAATTCGATTGAAAAGCTTAAAACAAAAATAAATACAATACTTTGTGTTCGTTTTGCGAATGTTTATCGCTTATAACTGCAAATGGCTGAGAAACACCAGTCACCCAAGCTACGCAAGTAAAAATTGTTACATGACGATAGCTGAAATGATCACTTCGTATTTCGTTTTGATGCGAAAACCTATAATTCTCGGCAAAATCGATTTGCTGAACTCTTTTTACAAAAAAAGGGTTTTGAATAAAGGTAAGTTACAGCGAAATTCTGTAAGCAAACTCTACGTAATCGACCTTCACATCTAATTCAAGCCTCTACTTCTTCGTGCAAGTGGTGAAGAGGGTAGCCGAGGTTTATATTTTTTTTTACATCACTTTCGAACAGAGTTCATCAAATCCAGTCCAGACGCCAATATCGTGCAATCATCAGCATACGAAGTTAGGGAAACTGCTTCTGGTAGAGGAGGGAGTTTCGATATGTAAAAATTAAACAGTAGTGGGGAGCCTGCGGAGCCTCAGTTTCATTTTCTTAAGTTTCGCTGTTTCACCTCGGACTATTGCCGATGATTGTCGACCACTCAGGTAGCCCTTGACCCACCTCTGCAACCCCGTCGGTAATGAGGATTCCTCAATGTTAGTTAGCAGCACTGAATGGTTGACGATGTCAAAAGTTTTTGACAGATCCAGTCCTACTAGGACACTTCGCGCGCAGGATCGGTTTTGGTTATCGCCATTGACTATCTGAGTATTTATGGCGTTTAGTGCTGTTGTGGTGCTATGCACCTGCACTGCTAGACGCAGATAGTGAGTGAAAGTCGGAAGCAGCAGTGCCTCAAGTGTCTTCTCTACTAGGGAGAGTAGAGTTATCGGCAGATAAGACTCTCCTTTGTTTGGCTGGTTTCCCCGGCTTGAGTAGGGGGACCATCGTTCTCCACACGTTGAGAACTTGGTGAGAAAGTCTGCTTCCGCTGATCCAAGATGTTATTCCGTCGGGTCCGATGGATTTGGAGATTGTCGCCTTCCCTATGACGCATTGAACCTCTTCCCTGGAGAAATAAGGCGCAGCGCTGGTGTTTGGTACTTGGCGGGCTACACGTCGCTTCGTTTTGTCTACCGAAGTTTCTTTGTAAAAAGCCGACTAAAATAGCTCGCGCATATCTTCGTGATGGTGGGAGTCATGCTTCGGGGAGCTCCGTGAGAACGTAGAGGTCTGTTGGAGATGACGTCAACCATTGCACTGGTTGCACCTAACCGAGGTGGAGTTTTTTGTGGCACACGCAGCAGATATAATCCGTTGTATCCGGATTAACTCCAGTGCTTAGAACCGGCTGTCTTGAGGGTTGAACCTTCACCACTCGAGATGTGCGATTTCGAAACTACCGAAAAAAATTACTATTCAAATGAAACAAACATTTACCTTTATAGCATTCAATAAGTAAGTTCACCAAGCCGCTTGTCATTTGTAACTTTAATGAGTGAGACCCTAATAGAATGCCATCAGCCTCATCATAAAGATTTAAAAGCTCCTAACGATTTTATGTGCTATTATTGTAGAATATTTAAGTAAATTGTTTAAATATAAAATACCAATCAATGGTTTGTTTCGTTGAGCACATCGATCAAGTTTCTCCATTCCGAAGACCAGGAAATACGAAAATTTAACCCATACAAAAATAAGGTCTTTGCTAATGTTTAGTATAATTAGTAGTTTTTGTTTATTTTAATTAATAATTATGGTTATAAAAGCTGTTTAAGAAAATGTATCGCATGTAATCGATAACTATCGATAAAGGCCACTATCAGCTGATCGCTGGAATTAATTTTTCGGCTCATTTTTCAGGCGAATTTTTTGAACTGTCGGTCTTGAATTGCATTTGATACTATGGTGACAAAAATATGTATTATTAACCATTTTGTAAATTAGTGACTGTATTAAATTACTGAATGCCGTTGTTAGTTTTCATTTCAGTGGCTAGCTCGGATAAATTTGAAATTGTATTTGATTGATCTATGTGGTAATCCATTTGACCACGGTTCACAGTTCCTTATTTTCTTTTTTCTCGCCTCAGTTTTTACTCATCTATATTCAAAAATCTTATATTTTACATACACGGTGTGTCCGAAAAATAACCGAACTTTATATTTAATCATACAACATACAGCGCCATCTATTGAAAATTTGCAACATTAAAGGATACATTCATCCTCTTTCAAATACACTTAACATCATGTAAGTCGGATGACAGATGTAAAAGTGACTGCCATTTCAATAAAACCAAAAGTGTGCTAATGGTTCAAAAATAAAATGCAACAAAGAGCAAATATAAAATTTTGTGTGAAACTTGAAAAAAAATTAATGAAAAAAGTTTATTGTGATGATTGTATGAGTCGTACGCAAGTTTATACGTGGTTTACACGATTTAAAAATGGTCATGAGGATTTAAATGACGACCCTAGAGCAGGACGCCCAGAAACTAGTAATCGTGCTGAACTGGTGGAAAAAGTCCGTGAAATCATTGGTATCGATGGAAATTTTACCACGAGAATGTTGGCTGAGGAATTGAATACGAGTAAAAACACTACTTGGAGAATTTTAACTGAAGATTTGGGGAAAAGAAAAGTCTGTACGCGATTTGTTCCACATGAATTAAATGACGACTAAAAAATCGCTCGAATTTTTAATGAAAAAAGGTATTTCTCTCATCGACCATCCTCCGTATTCGCCTGATCTATCACTGAAAACCAAGATGAAGGGAGCATTTTATTTTATATGATATCCCAGCCATTCAAGCAGCCGTAACCGAGGTACTGAAGAGCATTTCTATAAATGACATAAAAAAATCTGATCGTTCCAAACGTTGTGTTGAGTCAAATGGAACCTATTTTGAATAAATAATAACTTTCAAAGATAATATGATGTGTATTTTATTTTGTATCCAAAAAGTTCGGTTATTTTTTTTACTAAAAAAAATGGCACAAAAATTAGCAAATAATAAGCTACGGAGTATGGCCCAGGTGGACGAAGACCACCAAATGTGAATAAAAGATTTAACATTTTTTTTTTTTTTTTTAAATAATACTTCATTCTTTCAGATATATTATATTCCGATGCATTCAAGTTTTCTGCCCAAAAAGTGTTATCATTAAATTTATAAAATGGGGCGGTTAAGAAAATGCTGCAATACCGCTTGCGTGTTTTAATTTTTCAGAAAATGTTAATATAAATCACTCACATACAAATTTTTGTCCACAATAACAACATCCATTTCCCAAAAGCTTTTTAGCATGCAAAGAAAATATGAGAAAATTGGTTTCTATATAAAATTCAAACATTACTGCGTTTTTCCTTTTTCCGTTTTTGACATTATTTATTAAAGCAAATCGTGATACATGACACCAAAAGTTAGAGTTGTTAGCTATAGAAATTTTTATAATATTAAAAAATGATAATAATTTACATATTTTGATTAATTTACAAAATTCTTGAAAATTATAATACATTTGTTCGGCAAAAAAATTCAATGAATATTTTCATACGTCTACTTATCTCCATACATAAACTTTGATTCATAAATATTTTTTTTAATAAATAAGATTTGAACCTGGCCTTAAGTCACTTGCTCGGAAAAAAAGTGGACATGCTTATAATATATTTTTTGTATAAAAGTAAGAGCACTCAAGATGTTGTTTCCATATGGAGGTTCTTTTGCCATTGTTCTTATTAAAGTTTTTTAATTTATATTTTTTCCAATTTTTTTGTTTTTTTCTACGTACTACGAATCAGTTTGGTTATTGTTAAAAAGGGGGAAAAGAATAAAAATAAATAATCCATAAAATAAAATTATTACATATTGTGCGTAATAAAAGGTCTGATAAAGGTTTCTTCATCCGTGCACTTCTCCACACTTTACCTTCAAGCATCACAACGTAAATTGAATGTTTTCTTTTTCTAGTAACGACAAACATTGACGTCACCGGACCAACTTCGTCATATATGCAGTGGGCGAGACTTTTCTTTCAAAATAATATGTATGTGAACCTAATAACTGAAATGTAGAAAATATTTTCTTAAACAAATTTTAAAATATTTTATTGGTAGTTACCACCACAGTCATAAATTTGGCGATTTTTTATGACTAAAAAAACTTACTCAAAAATTACCGAACAACAAAGTATTGTGCAAGGCGTAGCCTTTGTTCATCAAGCCAGAGCCGCCAAATGTGAATAAGAGCTTTACACATAGGACCTGCTGCGGTGGCGTTAATACTAAATATAATTTTTTAAAGCAACATATGTACTGATATATGTAATATACTCATACATATATATGTACATTACACTATATATCTAAATATCCAATATCCATTCTTAATACCAAATCTTCTAGTTTTCAGCTTTAAAAATTTTATCATGAAATTATATTAGTATTATCACTTGTTCCATTTTTTTTTTAACTTTATGTTTAATTTTGTCCACAGTACACTTTTATATTGCTTCGATGTTTTAAACACGTATTTTTCACTAAATAGGGATTAACCATTTCCCAAAAGCTTTTTAAACCATAAAGAAATTATGCGTAAATCGATTTCTATATTAAATTTTTTAAATACTATTTGCTTACTTCCAATTTCGAAAATTTTTTCGTTTTACATGATACCAAAAGTAAGAGTTGCTAGCTTTAGAAACTTTTATTAAAAAATAATATAAACTTTAATAATTTAAAAATTTTTGAAGTTAGAGTTTTGTAAATTATGAAAATATGTTTTAAAATTTTTGGCAACCCATAAAATTGAAGTGCTATGGTTCCTAACAAACCCTATCGTCATTTGCTTGCTAACCATCCTTTGCTGTCATCGACGACCAAAAGTTACTTGAAAAAATTTCTTTTTTTAACTAAAACGTTTTGGGAAATATTTAATAGACTTAAACGGCTTATAGTGAACTTATTAAATTTTTCTAATCAATTGGCAACACTTAAAAACAAAGAATTATGAAAACAATACTCTGACTACTTACGAAATTTCGTTGAAATATCTCTAAAACTATTAAATTAGCTTGCATTGATCAAAGTTCTTTTTATATTATATAGATATATATTATATATATATTGTATATATTTACTATATTTTTATATAATAGTGGTAGAGAAGAGGGTAGCACGAAAAAAGCGAAACGCGTTTAATGTCGAAGTCGACGGAGCAGAGAGAATGAAACTACGACTTTCGCGCCAGCCGGAAAACCCTGGAGAGTGGATGACATGTTGCCAGTGCTGCTGGCATCTCAAGCCACTACGTCTGCAAGTTCCTTTCGTTATCTTCTATCCCTTTTTGATCAGGACCCAATATCTTTCGATTGACCGAAGTTCAGGACAGTTAGGTGGATTTGTTTCTTTTGGCACGAACGTTACAAAATTTTCACCACTTAAGATCCCCCTTGCTGTAATGACATAATGCAAGATCAAGCCAAAAGAAGGGAGAAGCATGATGGTTTGCTTTAGTCTCTTTCGCAAGCATTCTTTCAGAAAATGTCACTATTAATTGTACCAAGAGTGACGAAGTTTTTTCTTTTACCACATAGCTTGCCAAACTAAAATTTTTTGCAGAAACTTTGCATTTCTTTAAATTTTTATTTTTGTCCAGACGTTTATTTTAGCATTCGCTATATGAAATGTTTGGACCGGCAGCAGAGAAAAGTTGGACAGGACGTAAGTTCCATTATGCAAAAACTAAATTTGTTCATAAAGTCATAAAGAACTGCGAACTTCTCAGTGTTTCGGTCCAGTACTTTCTGCGCTTTATACGTGTATGTCTTCAGTACTGCTTCTGTTTTCACTCTCCGCTCAAATAACTCGGTACAAAGCGCTGACAGCCTTTCTTTGGTCACCGCAGCCTTGTTTCCGATCTACGGTTAAGATTCTCTTGAAACTTTTTTGCTACCCGGAAACAGCGTTTCGGCTAAACTTAGTATCCCAGCAATTCACTTAAATTGTAAGCTATATTGCTGATTATTTCAAAAAAGTTTTAACAATTAGCGCACGCACTTCTTTTTTCTCACTGTTCATAATTGTACAGCCTCCAAAGTAGGAAAACTTAACGTATGTTTCCGGTTTGGTCCCGCAGCTGAACTCACCTGATCGTTTTCGTTTTTCATTTCAGTTGTAATTCGTAAAAAAATTCACTTTCAAGCGCTGTGTTGCATTAACATGTATTAAACTCTGCTAAAAAAGGTAACTAATCCCAACCAACCAAAAATGCTACTCAAAATGGAAAAAATTACTTATTTTAATGTTAAATACTCGGAAAATATATAAAACATTTTTTTCTGCTTAACTCCATTTTTACTTTATTAGCTTTTTTTTACATCCAATAAGAAAATTTGATATTGTAAAAAACTTTCAAAATACAACCATGCGTAGTGTTGAGTTATTGCATTTCCTTTCTTTACATTTCAATAAGCAGATTTCTTGTTTGGCAAACAATGATAAATACAATTTTCGTTATTTAAAGCATTTATAATTCTAATTAACTCTGCGATTTATATATAATGGAACTGATCTTCGGCGTATGCAAACGTTTGTGCATCACATTCACCATTATATTAAGCATACAAAGAGCATAACGTACAGCGGCGTCTTCGGTTCCACGCCATACCTGCAAATGCAATTTACATCTTGCTTATGCCGTTCCCGTATTGGTGGATTGAATTAGGAAACGATACTCAAATTAAATGGAACCGAATTAAAATAAGGAGTGACAACATCTTGACTTTGGTGGCGACCAATAGAGGTATAAGGCCCCTGCGTTTCAGGCTTGGCAGCAGCTAAAATGCGTGCCGTTTCAGTGATTTTATGTGAGAACCATGTCTTCTGAACGTTTTATGAAATCTAGTGCGGATCTTAGAGAATTAAATAACTGCAATTTAAGGAATGTGTGATAAGATCGAGAAATGTAAATTAAAGAGAATAACATACAATATGTTCAATATTCTGTGAATATATTTTTGACTATGTATAGATAATCGATTAGTAAAATTAACGCAAACAAAAATTTGAATATAAACGTTAAAAAAACTTTCAAGTTCAATCAAACATTAACAACCGCAGGGATGTTCCAATGTCGGATTTTCTTTTGATATTTTGATAAATATATTTGAGGGTATTTTTTAATTTTCTAACAATTTTAATATAAAAACCATTGCACATTATTGATACAGTATTTTTAAAACATGTTTTACTAAACTATTGAATGAAATAATAAAACTTTGAATGCAAATTTACGATATTCTTAAGCTTTTAACAAAATTTCTTGCAAAACAGCAATGCTTCTTCAAATTCATTGCTTCACGAAACTTTGGCTGTGTTTCACGAAACCCTGGCTGCTTCACAACACACTGGCTTAAATGATTTGACAACCGAGAGGCGAAACCGATGGAATGACTGTAATTAAAACCAAAACGGATTTAGGTTACTTGGTAGATTGTACAATGCTGTCCATGTCTGCACAAAACAATGAATGAGAAAATCTAATTCATATGCAATACAATTTGACATATTTTTCAAAGCCAACTTGATCAAAATTTATTGAATTGTATTTCTAAGAAATAAGCAACAATTGAAAAGTTGTACACTAATTTCTAATGCCGACTAAAACAAGTTAGCTGGCCAAAGTTATTTGGTTGGATTTTTTTGCCTGTATGCATCTAATCTAATTAGCGTTATGTGTGTTGTGTATATTTTGTCACACTCTTTCCAACATTTCGGCCGGTATCTCACGAATAAATGCATCAATGTTGTCTTCCAATGCGTGAACTGAAGCGGGCTTGTCTGTATAAACATTTGATTTAACATAGCCCAACAAGAAATTGTCTGGTCTTAAATCGCACGAACTTGGGGGCCAATTGACCGGTCCCGAACGTGAAATAAAATGTTCACCGAATTCGCCATTGTTACGCATGGTGTGTGGCAGGAGCCACCGTTTTGTTGAAGCCACATGTCTTGCAAATCGAGCTCGTGCATTTTGAACAAAAAAAGTTTGATGTTATCTCATGGTAGCGCTCACCATTCACAGTTACGTTACGATTCGCATCGTTTTTGAAGAAGTACGATCCAATGATGCCACCAGCCCATAAACCGCACCAAACTGTGACTTTTTTTTGGATACATTGGTAGCTCTTACAATACTTCTGGCAGATCTTCACTCCAAAATCGACAATTCTCCTTATTTACGTACCCATTAAGCCGAAAATGAGCTTCGAAGAGCGGTATTTGCAAAC